ATTCTTACAAAATACGCTTTTTATGCTAACTAACCAAAAGTTATGTGGCGGAAGTACCATTTAGCAAAGCCCCGCAATGCAGAATAAAGGGCCTGAGTTGTAGGGCCTAACTTTTTTCAAAAGTTGTGCAACAGTTTTTTAATAACTATATTTAGTTTAAAATTATTTTTCTTTCCTGGTGGAGCGGGCCTAAATAATATTTTGTTATAATTATTATCGAAATTAAAATATAAAAAATGTGTATAATATTTACCTTATATCTCTACTTGATTTTTGCTTGATTCGAATGAAAAGTGGTATCAGCGTTCGAAAGCATTATAAGCGTTTCATTCAAAACTAAATTCCTAAAAATTATCTTGCGTTCTAACAGAATAAAAAGAAGCTATTCTAAAACTTTTTTTCCCATTCTTTTTATTCGTATTCTCAAATTATTTCATTTAGCGTTACAGTTTTTGTATCTGTATAAATTTTTTTGCAAAAATGTATTAAAAAATATTTTAAGTGAGATTTTTTTAAGTTAATAGAACTTTGTTGTTATCGACTACATAACATTTTTAGACTTATATCAAGAAGTTTAATGGTTAAAGTTTAAATTTAAGGAAAAATCAATTTGAAGATACCCGGTGCCGGGTACTGCAACAAAATGGCCGATACCGGGTACCCGGTAAAATAGCCGAATTGCCGGGTCCCCGGGTACCCGGTACATCACTAATATATATATATATTTATATATATATATATATATATATATATATATATATATATATATATATGTATATATATATATGTATGTATATATATATATATATATATATATATATATATATATATGTATGTGTATATATATGTATATATATGTATATATATATATATATATATATATATATATATATATATATGTATATATATATATATATATATATATATATATATATATATATATATATATATATATATGTATATATATATATATGTGTGTATATATGTATATATATATATATATATATATATATATATATATATATATGTATATATATATATATATATGTATATATATATATATATATATATATATATATATATATATATATATATAATATATATATATATATATATATATATATATATATATATATATATATATATATATATATATGTATGTATGTATGTATATATTTATATATATATATATATATATATATATATATATATATATATATATATATATATATATATATATATATATATGTATATATATATATTTACATTGATATATATATACAGGCCACATATGAAAACTGGCATGTCATTTTGGTACATGTTAATCCATTTAACGTATAAATTTTTTAATCAGTTTTTAAATTTCAGCAAGTCTAAAAAAATCATTTAAGCAGTAAGATAAAAAAAGTAATAAACATAAAAACCACTAATGAAGTTTGACGATTATGTAAAAAAGTTTGTATGACAATTACATTTGATATTCGCACTATTTACAAATGTTAAGAAAAAGAATAGAAATTTTTATTTTATTCTAAATTTTTTATCAAAAAAGTTTAGAATAAAAATTCAGTAAAAGAAAAAAAGATGTTATGAGGGTGTAAAAAAAGAAATCATAAAATAAACATAAAATTTTTTTATTTTTCTTGCAGGAGCAAGAATATTCATTCAGACAAATTCTCATAACAAACAATAAAAATGATTACCCAATTAAAAAAAATAATAAAAAACAAAACAAAAAATTATTAGCTAAAAAGTACTACATGTTAAATTTAATTTTATATTAACGCCACTTTTGATACTTTAAATTTTGTTTGTTTGTTTTGTTATAATGATTGATTTTATCAAAAAAATTTAAAAACATTACAAACTTTAAACAACATCTTATAAAGAGTGTTTTTTTTTTTTTTATAATTAAAAAAAACAAACTTTTTTTTATGGATATAACTATATTATTAATTTTTTTGCTTGAATTTATGCTTGAAGCAATATAGCTTTTGCAATGTTTTCGTTTATATTTATAAGTTTTGTCTTGCGAAAATAATAATTTAGAAAAATAATATTCTAAAATAGTTACATCATATTTATATAATTAACAGATTGTGCAATATTAAAAAAAGTAAAAACAAAAATTTTCTTATAATGATAAAGAATTTTAATAAAAAAAGTTATTTAAATAAAAAAAAAATTTTCCCTCTTTTTTTTAATTTTTTACAAATTAAATTCCTTGTAGACATGTTATAAATTATAACCCTGTATCAAAAATATTCATAAAGCGTACATTTAAATTTTTTTGTCTTAAGGCAAGTGAAATCGCAATATTTTTTAATAAATGATACTTGGAAGCTTAAATCATTGTCAAAAAAAAAAAAAAAAAAAAAAAAAAGCACTGGCAAAGTAATTTACTTGAGTTATTTTCTTTTAACAAGTAATTTTTTTTTTTTTTTTAATAACTTTTTAAAAGTAAAAAATTATTATTTGTGAAGCCATAATTTTAAGAAATAATGGGAAAAAAAACAAACATATTTTAATTCATTTATACAAATGTTGAGAAAAGAAAGAATTTTTTTTTTTTTTACATATTTAAAATTAAAAAAATTGACATTCCACAAATGTAAATTTATTTCCAAAATAAAACTTCTAGGTTTTCTTTTCTTAAAATAAACTTGTTATGCTTTAATTTATTTTATTGTGGTAGTTTAAAAAAGTTAATGTCCTTAAATAAATAAAAAGATAATTTTATGGCGTCAAAATCATGACAAGATATTGAGCGAAACCATTTTTTATTTAAAACAAGGCCTATATATATATATATATATATATATATATATATATATATATATATATATATATATATATATATATATATATATATATATATATATATATATATATATATGTATGTATGTATGTATGTATGTATGTATGTATGTATGTATGTATGTATGTATGTATGTATGTATGTATGTATGTATGTGTATATGCATGTATAAAAAAACTTTTTTACAATGTCAAAGTTTTCTATAAAATTAATTACTTCTTTTATCTTACTGCTTATAGAATAATTTAAAAGTTAAAAAATGATAAAAAAGTTGCTTAATGGAAATCACTTTAGGCATACATAAAGCAGCTTAACGCGTACATAAGTTGCCAGCAGAGTAACACTTTAAAACAAGGCCTGTATTTCAAGGCCTTCATTGCAATCTGAGGTGGTCCCTAAAGATTTTAGTGCATTTGGCATGTGATGACCCAAAAAGATTTTTTTAAGAGCAGATATGATAGCAAGTTTGAATATATTTTTTTAATTTTTTAATTTTAGTTCCCCGAGGCCATAAAGCCACTACAGTTTGGGAGGCTACTTAAATTGTGATTACAACCCTCTCTCAACTCTATAACTCCGAAACACAAACCTTGACAAACAATGCAGCTACGCGGAAAAACAAGTTGAGCATGGTACTACCAAGGGCGTGGTAGGAACATGGAACTTCTTGCTTATGAGGAGAGCACTCTACCACTACACCACTACCGCATATATATCTGCATATATATACCCACTACCGCATATATATACCCACTACCACATATATATACCCACTACCGCATATATATACCGCATATATATACCCAAATATAAAAGAACAAAGAAAAAGAAACAACTTGTGACAAACACTCAATTTTGGAAGTTAGCCAGCTTCAACAGTGTAAATAATGTTCATTCAATCATTTATTATTTTGACCATTTGAAAAAAAATGTAATAGTAAATGGTTTTTTTTCAGTTAACTGGAAAAAATAATTCAAAAAAGTACACATTCTGATGTTAGGCAGTTCAAACAGAAAAATTAGTATATTTGGTTAGATAATCAGGTAGTGAGTGACAAATAAAATCAAGAAATAAAATAAAGTCAAAAAATATTAGTAAACAATTAACTAAGACACAACCAAGATTTAAGTTAATTAGAGATTAATTCCTGCTTAAATCTTAAAGATGGAGGAGAAATTTAGTGCAGGTTGTGATATATATGCAAAGTTAATTATAGGTTTTAAAAGTATTTCTTTTGAATAATATTATTAAAAATAATTTGATAATAAGTGTTGTTAAATATGTCAAAAAAAAAAAAACAACTTATTTTGTTAAAAAAAATTTATTTTTTAAATTGTATATTTTTCATTGTTATAATTTGTAAATCTGTGATACTAATTACTTGAAAACATCCAGCAATTTTATATGTCCAACATTGCAATAATTTTAGGTTTTTTTTTTGCAGTCATATCTTATCCTTTACTAGTTAGAACAACAATAGAAATAGGTTGGGTAAACACTTTGTTTTATTTTCACAATTGATTTGTTTATGACATCATTATTATCCTCATCAGAAGAGATATTTGTATTCATCAAAATCACTATCACCAAAATCTGAGGTTTCATTACATAATTCAACAAGATCTTTTGTTGAGTAGAATCACCAGCTAACTTGCCATTTTAAATCAGTGTTTTGTTAAAAGTTAAACTATTTACTAAAATATACTTTATGAGAAGAGTATTGTAAAAGTATGATTGGTGGAAAAATCTATGATTGGTCCAGGTTTGGTATTGTGTTGCACTGCTTCTAACAAATACTTGCGTATATATTCATTATCAATTTTTTTGAAAGTTTTTTCCTGTATATATATACGTCATTAATAGTCAAGGGGTTAGATGAGAATATGTTTATAGAATATTTTGTTTATAAAAAATTTTGTTTATAGAATATTTTATTATAGAATCGTTATACAATTTCTTATTTAACATAATTTGTTGTTTTTCACAATTTGTTGGTTATGAGAAGATTTCCTTGTTCAAAACAAATTTTTATACAAAATTAAATAATTAGTGCGCTAAATCTAGTGTCAAATTTATTTTCCAGTTTGTATAAATATGTTTTTATTTGAAGGATATTATAAAGATATAAATTTTTAAATTGATTGATATAATTATTTTTTATTTATATTTTTTTTCATTTAGGCTAGAAGTTTTAGCAAAAGTCACTGTAGATGGCTTCTTGTTAACGTACAAAATAGCACTGAATTTGCATGCCAGATTATGAATCGGGATGTGTGGTCAAATAAACTTGTTCGTGAAATACTTAAAGAAAACTTTGTTTTGTGGCAGGTATGGTTATTTTAGTATCAGTATTATATATAAATATATTATTATTATTATACTATATATATTTTATATATATATAGTATAATATATATATATATATATATATATATATATATATATATATATATATATATATATATATATATATATATATATATTTACATATATATATATATATATACATATATATACATATATATATATATATATATATACATATATACACACATATATATATATATATATATATATATATATATATATATATATATATATATATATATATATATATATATATATATTTATTTATTTATATACAGGGGACTTACAAATAGTTTTTGTTTTAGAAAAACTAGAAGATTGTATTGATTTTTAAAAAACTATATTTTTGGAAATATATAATGCAAAAAAATTTATTGATTTCAAATCTTTCTCCTTTTTCTTTGGTGTATCCATGAACTCTCTTGTGTTCATGACAGCTGGCATGGAGGAGATAGGAATTTTATCCCAAGTTTTGACTAGAAAAACATTTTTTAAAAAGAAAGAAATTCAATGAGTTCAAATCTGGACTGCTAGCGGGCCATTCTGACACTGGAATGAAACAAGGCAAATTTTTCTCACAACACACTTGAATGGTTTTTGCTTTTTGTTTTGTAGCTGAATCTTTTTCTGGAAAGTATATGGACAATTGCCAAATATTTTATGAGGTTTCACATGAGACTTAAAGATTTAAATAGAGGTGCTGGTTGATTTTAACTTCTTTATCAATCAGTTTTAGTGGAAGTTTTCCTTCCTTGGAGATTGCACCAAAAACCATAATTCCTGATGCATTTTGGTATCAAGGAATAGCTTTTACATTACACAATCTTATTCTACAAACTCCATAAAATGTCATTTTGTTTGATAAGGGGTCGCTCAAACATGAATAGTTTTCCATCAAAAAATTATTGATAGAGTTTTCATCAGAAAATTATTGATAGGCCATAATGCTGTTTCTTTTTCATTTTACATCTCTTATATGCTAAAGCTTATTTCTGATTGTCAGACCAGCAAATAATTATTTTTTAATAAGATTTCATACCTAGGTCTGAAATAAAAATAATTATTTTTTTATAAGATATATTACCTAGATCTTTTTTTTTTTTTTTTTTGTTATTCACCTCCAAAAGGCCGAGAAGGCCTTGAGGAGGTGAATAACAAATAAAAAAAAACAGTTATATATCAACAATATTTTAACATTGTTGATATTTCATATTGATGATTGGCAGTTCTCTTAATGATAACTTTCATTTTTAAATTTAAGATAAAATTCTTATTAGTCAATGTTTATAAATATGTTGCTTTTTATGCTACTTTTAATATTCTACAACCCATGTTTTTTTTATATAAAATGCAGCAAAGTAGATTTTTATTCTATTAGTTACTGTTAAGTTTTCTTCACATGCATAAAGGTATTACATAGTGGCCACAGTCCTGGAATGTCCTAGATTTTTGCAAGTATCCTGGAATGTCCTAAATTGTCCTGGAAAATTACATTTTTTTCAAAAATGTCCTGGAACTTTTTTTTTTCTGAGTCAAGTTAAAAAATTACTAAGAATATTGAAGTAATATTAAATTTTTTATGCAAAATTTTTTTTATATAAATGGTTTGAATTTAATTTTAAATAAGAGAGTAATATAATAATATAATATTCTATTCTATAATTCAATCAATATAAAAAAAATATACCGTAAAGATAATTGATAATATTCATTTAATAAGATATAAAATGTCCTGGAAAATGCAACAAAATGTCCTGGAATGTCCTGGAAATGTCCTGGAATTTAACTTTTAAAATTTTGTGGCCACCATGTATTAGGCATACATAAAAATTTACACAAAACATTAAAAAAAGGTTTTACTAGAAATGTTTCTGTTATAAATGTATATTATTGCTTATCTACTGTTGTTTTGTTGTTTTGTATTTGTTGGTTTATTTTATGGATGCATTTTATTTACATGAAGAATTTTAGGAGTCACATGTTTATAAAGTCTCTACTTCAGTTGTTTGCTATTTTTAAACAATGTTGTTGTTTGTATTTCTCTTATTATTTTTAGGTAGATTATGAAAGTGATGATGGAATGCACTACAGTAACTTTTACAATGTCCACACCTACCCTCATTTGGCTGTTATAGATCCTCGAACAGGTTATTTTAAAATTTTATAAAAAAAAAGTTTTTAATTCATTAGCTTACTATTTTATTTACTAATTGAAAAAGTGAATTTTTAGGGGAACGGCTTTTTGTTTGGAAGAATTTAGAAATGAAGCCTACACCTGATGATTTTATGGAGCAAGGTTTATCTTTTTATTGAAATTATTTGTATACTTTTTTTTGATTGATGTTAGTTTGTAATTTTTTTGATAACCTGGTTTAAATTTGTTTTTGTTATTGATTACCCATTCAAATTCTAATAAATTTTCAGTAGTGCTATTATTAAAAACATTTAAAAATAAATAACGAAGGTGATAAACAGTTATCTGGAATGAGTTCCCTTTGAAATAATTAGATAATTTCTTGCACGTAGACGATTATGTTGTTTTATTAATAAACTAAAATGCACTGCAAAAATCTTATTTATCTTTCTAAATTATTTTAAAAGTTTCAATTATAAACCTTGTCTGAAAAAGAGCTCTTAAGAAAACATATATACAAGTTTTATGAAAATAATTTAAATGAAGGAAAGAGGTACACATTTTATAGCTGAAGGCAAATCAACCATTTATGATATAATCAAGCATAATAAAATTGAGTTGATGCAAATCAACAACCAGAAACAACAGCAGGCAAACCAGCTGTTATTTTTGATAAACAAGGTTTGATCAATTGAGATAAACAACAAACAATAAAAGTAGTTTACCATAAAGAAAGTTAGCTGCAATTCAATTGTAGTCAACTGTATGTTTCGATAGTTCTAAATCATAAAATAGGAATTAATTGTTCCAAAAAAACTAAATTACCAGATAAAAGTTTTGTTCAGATGGTGGAAGCGAGATGCAAATGTTATTTTATATGAATTAAAATGATTGTGATTGGGTTTTGGATGGTGAAATGGATTCTAATAATAGATGATAAAACAAATTCTCCTACATCAATAAAATATTGAAAAACTTCTAAGTTTCAAGCTAAAGTACTAGTTTGGATTGCATTTTTGTGTAGAGGATTTGATCAATTATAGCTTATATAGTTGTAAACAATGTTTCAGTAAGAGTATGTTCCAGGAAAAAAATCCTCTTTAAGTGTAGATCTATAAAGGACTTCTGGTCTCAGTTAAAACTCAGGTTAGAATTAAGAACTCAGATGGAGAAAAAAGTGTAACAAAAATAAAATTTGTTTTAAAAAAAACAACTTCTGCCTAAGAAAAATAAATTTTGAATATTTAACATGGTAGAAATGTATTTTTAAATATTTTATTTCTATGTATCTACTATACTCTAACCAGTAATAAGTAATTATCCAGTGATAAGTAATTATCCAGTGATAAGTAATTATCCAGTGATAAGTAATTATCTGGTGATAAATAATTATCCGGAATGAGTTTAAATTCTGTACAACTCAATGTCTGGAATGAGTTTAAAATCTGTACAACTCAATAAAAAAAAAAATAAAAAAAAATATTTTTAAAAGTTTTAAAAATAAAAACCATAATATTTTTAAAAGTTTAAAAAATAAAAACCATAATATTTTTAAAAGTTTAAAAAATAAAACCTTAATATTTTATAGCATATAAAATTATTTTATTTTTATACTATATACTTCTTCTATAGTTCTTTTTTGACATACACAATCTAAATGTGACCTCACCCCTCTAACAAGCTTTTGTTACGCTTTCCATATCAAATTAAATTAAGCATTTACATTAAAAGATTTTGTAAAATCTGTAATCTTGAAATCAATTTTTTTTGCATTTCATAAAAGTTATTTTGTTGAATATTTAGCAATGCAGTTTTTGTCAGATCATTCAAATTTAAGCGAAAGTTTTGAATCTCCCTCAGAAAAAGAAGAAGGAATTATGGTAAGTTTTTTTTTTTTTAAATTTCAAAATTTTTTATTGTTGATTCTTTATTTTTAATTTTATTATTCCATATCATCTTGCTCATGATGTTGCTAAGGTTTTTGACTACACTGCAATTAAACATGCCAGTTTTGTTGCATGTGGTTGGGTGCCTTATTTTAGGGCATTCCACAAAAATTAATATTTTGTTAACAATTTTAATGCAGTCCCTTCCAAAAGTTTGTTTATGGTCCCACAACATCACCTAAAATTTTGGCATATTTTTGAAATTATAGTTAAGGGTCCCCCAAGGGTAATAAAAGTTTTTGAAATTGGGTTAAAACCGCATTGGTGCCAAGTTTGAAATGTTTTTACTAATTAGGTCATACAATATGGATAGTAATCTGATATTTGTAGAGCTAAAAAGCTGATAATTAGTATAATATAGAATAATATTCTAGAAATGTATAATTTTCAACAAAATTGGTCAGTGTAAACAGAGATAGCAAACTCATAAAAGAAACCAATTCAAAACAAGAATTTTCTTTTTACTTTGCTTGCAAGTGCAAGCCTATTTGCTAAACATTGACACACTGTGACAGTCATATAACAGTTTAAGTGACTCTAACAGTCAATGTTATACAATAAACATTAAACAATGATACACAATTAGATTTATTTATATATTTGTCAGCTTAGTTAATATCTACAACTCTACAGTTTACACTAAACATTCTTTATTTCTACATGTCCAGAAGATTGTCACGATTGCATTTATAAAAAAGTCTTGTCTATGCTTTTTTGCAATTTGCAGAAGATATTGTTTTTGTTCTTCACCTTTTGTCATCGTTGCATCAAAATTCTTGATTAGCGCAACACCATGTTTGGCACTGTTATTGACACAAGCTATTTTTTTGACAAATGCAAATGCGTTCTTGCATGATTGGTTTTCTGAGCATACTTCAAAACAAATATTGAGAAAACTATCATCGATGGTGGTAGTTCTGAAAAAGCTCCAAGATATTGATAATTCAGATGTTGTACAAGGTAGACTCTGAAGAGAATTTACCAAAAGTAATCCTCAATCATCTTTTATTGTTGACACAAACAGTGCTTTCTCTTCAGAAGATCGATTCTGAGAAAACAGAGCAAGAGTTGCTAGCTCTTGACTTAAATACCATGAATGACGCACCATCATCTCCAGACCTGTTTTCTGCAAGGCAACATTATCGTAGTTGTATAACTGTTAGACGAGTGAAATGTCATTGAATTGTGCATCAGCTGCTATTTGGCATGATTGGAGATATACATTTACTACCAATCTATTGAATCTCTGGATTTCCTGTAATTCACATGCTTCACAACAATTTTTTTGCCATATATAAGCAATTCGATCTTTTATTGTGTAGTTGGTCTTCACCATCCATTGTGCTCTGTGGAGGGCACCAGGTTTTTTTATAGCTGCCAAACTTTTCAAATTCAATCCTATCATTAATGCTGCGAGTTGAAGAAATTCTAGATAATCATTTCATGGATGACCAAATTAAAGTTGCTCAGCAATGAACTCCTTCAATTTGTCACTTGCAGAGATCAAAGGTGTTGATTGAGGATTAGGTTTATGTTGTACCAAGGCGGACCACTTATCTTTTAACCTCTTAAAAATGAAATTGATGAAGTCCAGTCCAGTTGATAAAGACACACTCCAAATGCATGGGACAGCAGCACCTCAAACATGTGGTGACATGCCATCCAACAACAAGTTGCGACTGATATCTGCTTCCAGAATTATATCGGCTCCATTTAATTTACATTTGCTATGTTTTTTTTAAGCGCATTTTCACAAGCGCTAATTGTCAAAACTTGCAAAGAGCCGTGGCCAAGTTGTCTAAAGAAAGTATTATATGCATTGTTATATAAGGTGTGCGACCGCACGCTTCCTAGGTAAAGGCCTGATTTTGTTAAATGTAAAATAATACAAATTTATAATTTAAGTTATATGATATTATGAGGATAATCATGATCTCTCCAAAAATTCAGGTTTTGCTTGATTTTCATTTTGATTTTCAGATTTGCTTCATTTGATGTTTTGCTTTATTTGTTTCTTAAACTGTATTTGTATGACATGTATGTACACAAAAGATTATGCATTTTTAGATACTACTAATCAAGGGCTTTCTCGTGAGGCTAAAGGATTGATTATGGAAATAAAGGACTGGTGTCTAAAATATTTTTGAACTCAAGAGTAGCCAATGCAGTTTTACCCCAATTTTCAAAATTTTCACGACCCTTCGGGATACCTCTTAACGACCCTTCGGGATACCTCTAAAAAAAAGTTTAATTTGCATCAGCAAATTAAACTTTTTTTTAGGACACCCTAATCAACCTATTGCCTTGTTTCTGTTAATTAGTCTATTGCTTAATTCCTGTTAAATCGTGTTAATCAACTTATCCAAACAGATGAGTTGATTAACTGAAATTAGACAGCTGTTTAGCATATTGCTTAGGTTGACAATATGGAGGCAAGTCTAACATTTCTTTTTTTATATATATGGATCTGGTTTTATTACCTCTATTAAAAGCTAAATGAGTTTGCAAAGAACTTTTTCTGCTTTTCTTCTTTTGAAACTAATACCATATTTTTCATTGACATTGTAAACAGGGACAATCAATTGTTAAACCTTAAAATATTAGACCTAGCACTAGATCTTTAATATTTAATATTAGATCTAATTGCTGTGTTTGCTATAATTGTTTCATACTTACAGTCTTACAGCTTGTGGTCTGAACAATGATTATCAAAAAAATACCTGTTTTTGAAAACTCTCTCTATATATAATATATAAAAAGAGAAAAAAAAGAAAAGAAAAAGAAATATAATATGGTTCAACCTCCCGTATAGTAAAAGGGTTTCTACCAATGTCGGACATATCTTCCTAAACTTAATAGACAAACATTTTCCAACATCCCACCGCCTAAGTAAATTGTATAATCGAAACACCATCATAGTTAGTTACAGCTGTACCAAAAATATTGAAAGAATTATAAAAAGCCACAACAAAAAAATCAGTTCAAAAAGACCAAAAGAATACCCACCCTGCAATTGCATAAATAAAGAAAACTGCCCTATAATAGGAAAATGTAGAGCCTCAAACATTATTTATAAATGTATAGTATCCCCCCCCCCCTAACACTCCAGAAAAAGTATATATTGGCCTAGCAAAAGGTGAATGGAAGAATAGATGGGCTAACCACAAAAAACTCAACCACCCTTTCAAAGTATATATGGCAGATAAAAGGAAACTTAAAAATAACACCCAAATTAAAATCCCCGCCTACAGCAATGTTACAAAAAAATGCTTGCTTTGCCTTCATGAAAAACTTTGCATATTATCATACAAAGGTACGCAAGAACTATTAAATAAAAAAACAGAAATAATATCTAAGTGCCGTCATGAAAACAAGTTCTTGCTTGACAACCATGAGGCTAAAGATTAAAAAACCAAACCACGCTTACAAATAGTAACATTTTATAATTGTTTTTGAACGTCACAATGTTATTATATGGTATATTTTTTAACGAAAAAACAATGTATTTTTACCTGATGATTGCTAAACGCATGAAACTTTTAGTGGTAAAAATTATGTAGTTATTTTTTATTTAATCTCGTAATGATATTTGAAACTGTTGCTCAGGTTAAGCTTCTGTTCTCATCACAAAGTTTCTTCTTTTTTTCTTTTCTGTAACAATCTGAAAGTGGCACTACATGAGTTCAAATATGAGACTTATTATATATTAATTGTTATTATATTAATTGTTTGTTTATATATTTAGGAAACAAGTGCAGACGAACTTGAAGCTGCTTTAGTAGCTTCATTAAATGCTCCTACTAATGTGGTGTTAAGTGATGTTTTAGAAAAAAAACAAGAAAATCATAATATTGTAAAAGGTTTAACAAATATTTATGTTTTGAACTTAAAAAATTAAAATTAATTTAAAAACTTGACTTAAAAGTATTCAATTTTTATTTTATATTCAATTTTGTTTCTAGATAATCAACAAATAAAGGTTTCAAAGCCAACAGACAAGGTATTATAAATGTAGATTTTGATTACTTTGTATTTATTTCCATTAAAAGTTTTGCTTTATACACAGTATTTTATTTAAAATTATTCATTTTTATTCATTTTTTGTAGTTATTATTATTTTTTAACATAACTATGTTATTTAGTATAACTTATTGAGTATAACCCTGTTACTTAATTACATATATATTAATAAATTGTTACTAAATTATATATATATATATATACATATATATATATATATATATATATATATATATATATATATATATATATATATATATATATATATATATATATATATATATATATATATATATATATATATTTATATATATATATATATATATATATTAGTATTATTATATATATATATATATAATTCATTAATATTTACTAATATATATATATATATTATATATATATATATTAGTAAATATTAATGAATTTAATGATATTCATTCTTTTATAAAAATAAATTCGTTCTTATTTAAAAAAACATTAGAAAAAAAATAAAAATGTTAAGCTGCCGGCAGTTTATGTGCACTTGGATTGGTTTTATGTGCAGTTTATGTGCAATTTTACATACACCAAGAGTGATTTCTGTTAAGCAACTTTTTATCTTTTTTTAACTTTTAAATTTTTCTAAAAGCGGTAAGATTAAAGCAGTAATTAATTTTATAAAAAGCCGCATTAATTTTTGAATGATGATTATGTAAAAAAGTTTTTTACAAAAGTTTGAATGACAATTATGTTAGATATAAACGCTATTTACCAATGAAAAAAAACTCAAATAAAATTAAAAACTAGTAAAACTTAATTTCAGTTGAGCTAATTATTTTATTAAAATATTTAGTTACAGAAAACAAAATTGTTTATAGTTAATGAAAATTTTGTTTTTTGTATAGTTAAGTTATTTAACAAAACTTTAAAAAAAAACCATGATAGAAATATATACAATAAAAATTTTTATTTATTATCTTGTGAGCACAAGAATACTTATTCAACTTTTGTTTGGTATTAAAAATTTACTTAAATTTCTATTTAATAATAAAAAATAAATAAATAATAAAAAAAAGTTAAATTTTATTTTATCTTTATTTTTTAATATATATATATATATATATATATATATATATATATATATATATATATATATATATATATATATATATATATATATATATATATATATATATATATATATATATATATAATTTAAATTTGATAAAAAATATATTATTTAAAACTAATTTAAAATTTTATTTTGAAAAAAAAATTTAATTTAATTTTGTTTTAAAAAGTTGAGAAAAAAATTTGTTTCAAACATTTTTAAAAATGCTTTATTAAATTTTGTTATTTAATATAAAAAAAAAAAATGAAAAAAAAAAGAAAAAAGCATTTCCTAATAGTAATAATAAAAAACGAGTTTTTTAAGACATTAAACTTGTTTTGCAGTAATTAATGTTATTGCAGCTATTTAAAAAAATTAATGTCTTTAAAAAATAAAGAAAGAGTATTTTTTAACGTCAAATTCACATTAGGCTAATGTATTAGGCATTTTTTATTTAAAACAGGGCCTGAAAATTATATTAAAAAATTGCAATGTTTTAAACTAAATCCATAGTAACGGATCATCAAACTGTTTTATCACATTGAAAGATCATAAATTTAACTTTTCAAATAATCCAATGGTTTGTCTCATAAACCCAGAAAAGAACAAAATAAGTAAATACATTTTATCTGATATAAACATTAAGCTAAGTAATATTTTATACATAAACCAGTAGAATAACACACAGGAGGTAATCAAATGTTTTAAGAATACCAAAGACAAACATTTTTGTAAATTCCTCATTTTTGACATTGTTGACTTTTATTCTTCTATTAACAAGAAGCTTCTTATTGGTTATTTGCTTTGCTGAGCATTATACTACCGTTGCTGAGCAATTACGTTTGTTGAGCATTATACTACCGTTGCTGAGCAACTACGTTTGCTGAGCATTATACTACCGTTGCTGAGCAACTACGTTTGCTGAGCATTATACTACCGTTGCTGAGCAACTACGTTTGCTGAGCATTATACTACCATTGTTAAAGAGCACAAATCTTTGATTCATCATGCATATAAATCTCTGTTATTTAACAATAATAAAGTTATGATAAAAATATCAGGCAATTTATTTGATGCCACCATTGGAGCAGTTGATGGTGCCAAGGTATGTGAGTTGGTTAGAATTTTCTTTTTTTTCCTAATTTCCAAGTTTTAAAACAAGTTTGATTTTAGGCTGTATAGAGATGATGACTTAGCCATGATTTAAAATACTGGTCCACAAATGTAAAAAACATATAACTCAAATATTCAAAAGAAACGGCCTCATTATTTTTATTTAATGCAACATAAAAATAGTGAATTATCTCGATATTATATTAAACCTTAGCGACTGCAGCTTCAAACCATAAACCTGAAAGTTTTTTTAACTATTTTTATGCCAGCTCTAATCACCCACCATGTATTTTAAAACAACTGCCAAACTCTATAGAGCAAAGATTTTTATCAAAATCTTTAATTTTTGAAAAATTCTGCTCCTATTTACAAAAAAACCCTAATAAAGTCTGGACATAGTAGTAATATCCAATATCGCCCTGATAAAAATTTACTCAAAACTAATCATGATACTAATAGTTGCAAAGGAAACATCATATGGTTTAACTTAAATGTCGATTCCTTTTCTCAGTAAAAACTTTGTCACCAAAATGGGAAACCTTTTCTTGAATTTAATTGACTTACCTTTTCCAGAGCACCAAAAGTTTCACAAGATTTTTAACAAAAACACAAAATAAGTTACAGCTGCATGTTAAATATCACTCCTATTATAAAGTCACATTTTGCGCAATAAAAATGTCAATAATGTTAGAACTAAAATTATATAAGTAGAACTACATGTTCTTTAAAAATCAATGCTTAACTAAAAATTTTGTTTATAAGGCTACTCTAACACCACCTAATGTCAATCATGCTAATAAATCTTGTATTGGTATAATTGACAACTCCTTCAAGATCAGGTTTGCAGAACAAATAAAATCTTATAACTTAGGTATAAAAACAAAACTGAGCTTTCTAAGGAAATTCGTAGGCTCAAGGAAGCATGTATTAAAACCATAATCAAGTGAAGTATAGTTAAGAAATGTCAATCCTATAACCCATCCTCAAAAAGATGCAATCTTTGCATGAATGAATACACATATTTTATTATATACACATATTTTATCACTTACAAAAACAGATTTTACAAAAAAATAAACACTTACGGCAACATTAGCATTATCAGGGACATTTTAGTGTACCCGTTTATTTTTTGTCCCAATAAGCATTATTTTTTTTTTTTTTTAAATGTCACCGTAAGAAACTTTTATCGAAAACAAAAAGTTGATACATTGACTATCAAATAGCCTCACTCGCAAGGGAGTGTTGCTACATCAACTGAGGGTTTGGTTTGGCCAGGCATCAAAGTCAGACTTAGGGTTAGGGTTGCAGCAAGGTACTTCTTACATCAACTTTTTATCTTACCATTAATAAAATCATACATTAAAGTTTATGATTCATCCAAGTTTTATTATTAAAAATGGCAATAAAAAATATAGTAAAGAAAGAATAATATAATAAAGGTAAAGAATAAATAAAAAAATACATAAAAGTAAAAGAAAATATCAAAAGAAAATGTTTTTTTGTGAGTTTTTATTGTTTATTGTTGTGAGTAGAATATGTTGTATAAAGAGTTGTAAAGCTTTGCTGATTGAAAAGACAAATGAACCATATTAGGCTATAACAAAACCAATAAACAATAGCTCTTACTGGGTGTTATATCACACATTTGGGGTTTCTTGAAAAAACATAGTGCACAGGTTTGTAGTTTAATGTGTATAATCACATTATATATTATTAGTATAGTATAGTTATTTTATGAAATTTCTATTTACCTGGTAATGTGATGTTATTATGTTACATTATGGTAAAATCTACACAAGAAGACAAAAATTTTTTTTTTTATTTAAAATGTTTATAAATAAAAGATATTACATTTTTTGTAACATATATAGGTTTAATAATATTTTTTTCATTAGTACATTATTTATATTTTTTATATGTACACATTTTAGTATATCTTTTTCAGCCTGCTTTGCACTTCAATAAAACTGATAATATGGACGATAATGCTGAAAATAGTTAGAATCTTTTTTCAAAATTTCTTGCATATTTTTTATTTATAAGTATTTAAATTTATTTTATAAATTTTTTTTTATTCATATAGTTTTTTTTTTTGTTCATATAGTTACAATTATGTGTCGATTGCCTAACAATGAAAGAAAAGTTTTATCTGTTTCTTTTCATTCTACAATTAAGGTTTGGTTGTTTTCATGTTTCGATTTATACTTTAAAAACAAAGTTTATGTTTTTTTATCTCTAATATTTTATTGTATCTACAACCCTCGGAATTACGAATTTTTTAGAGATCGCCAAAAAAAGTTTAATCTTACCATAAAACATAAAAACGAGGTCGGCAAAAAATTGTTGATCTCAACACTTTCAGGTCAGCAGTTTAGGTCTGCATTGCTGAATGTCAACCCTAATTCTGAGGGTTGTGTCTAATATTTTGTGTGTTATATTTTTTTATATCTTATGTTTTATGTATAATAAAAAAAGTTTAACAAACAAAAATTTATGAAATTTTCTACTTTTAATGTTTTTTAAACTTTTAATATGAGTTATCGTTTAACATATGTATCTTATAACATTCCAATCGGCACAAGACATGTTTAAGATGTCTAAAAAACATATCAAAAAGATATTAAAACATTTTTTAGACCTCTAAAACACATCTTGTGCCCACTGGAATATTTAATATGTAGCAATATAACAACACAAAGATTGTTTAATATATTTTCGTTTTAGCACCTTTCAGAAAAAGTTGCACAACTTGGTTGGCCTATTGAACAATATGAACTTATAAAAGCATTTCCGAGACAAAATATTTCAGAGCTTGATTGTCAGCTTAGTTTAAAGGAAGCTGGATTACATAAACAAGAAACCGTATTTGTTCAAGAAAGATAATATTAAATTTATTAAATAATTTGTATATAAGTTATTTTTATAAGACCATATTTAAGTTGTTTGAGATGGCATTAAAATTTGCATGAAATCAAAAATAAACAAGTTGATTTTGTGAGTTTTTACATCAAGTTATAGTTTCATGAAATCAAATTATTTTTTAATTGAAAAAAGTAGCTAAGATATAAAAAAAAAAAAGATGTATAAAGTTTTTTTTTTATAGTCAGAATATTTAACAAACTTATAATAAGTAATATAATTTTTTTAAATTTATCTATATGTTGTAAATATGGTTATTCTTACAGCAACATTTAAGTTTTTATTTTATTATTATTTTATTATGTTGTAAATAAGGTTATTCTTACAGCAAAAATATCTTATTAATACTTTTTTTATAGCTTTATAATTAATTATTGGTTTAATGAAAAAGTTACCTGGTTTAATGAGTATGATTTGTTCCTAAATTTCGTTTAATGCTTTATTAAAACTCGTAAAGGTAATGTTAATTTTTTTTTTTTTGACAAAAAACATATTTGTTTTTCTGCAAATATTAAATTTATATGTATTCCATACTTATTTGTTTTAACTATTCATTCAATTTGATAACTTGTGTGTGTGTGTGTGTGTGTGTGTGTGTGTGTGTGTGTGTGTGTGTGTGTGTGTGTGTGTGTATTATGGTCCACATACCATAAAAATAATTTCTAATCAAGTGCTTTTAAAATTCTTCATTTTTTGTGTTTCTTTCTCTGTAGCAAAAGTGTCAAATATTTTTGGGATTGTTATTAGTACTACCTCAAATCACCAAAGGTTTGCATAGAATACTGGTTTACAATTATATTCATTGCTCTATGATAAAAAATTATCACATTTTATTATCAATTGTTTCCATAAATATTCTAAGTAATTTACTTATTTTTACACAATAACACAATACTAGGCACCTAAGATTTGGAAATTTAACCATCAAATCAAATCTTGAATATATATCACCTATATATTTATGAATAAAATTTTTCATTTTTAGACAAGTAAATTACATTATGTGAACTTTTCCAAATTCTACAGTTCAGATTTTATGTATAAGCAAATATAAGCTCAGGTTTTGTTAATAATGTGATAAACATATTATCTTACTCTAAACAGGCTGTCAAGTCGTCATTTTTTTCATTTTTTTTTTGGGTTCTTTTTTTTTTTCTTTATTTTTTTTCATTTTTTTGCTAGTTTCTGTCATTTTTTCATTTTTTTCTTGAATTTTTTACAGTAGAATTGCTGTTTTTGATATTTTTAAGTTGTTTTAGGCGTTATGTTACTTAGTTTTTTATTTAACTTTCAAAACTGTTTTATAATAACAGTTACAATCTTTTATGTTCACATTTTAATTTTAATTATCCATTTGTATTGCTAAATTGGTGTTGTTATTTTAAAAAATAAATCATTCTATAGTATAGAATTAGTAAAGTTAGTGATTTTTATATTTAGTTTTTAGTATATTTATCAATAGATTACATAGTATAATAATTAAGTGGAATGATGTGTGGTTGGAAAAGTTAGACAAAAATCTAGTGAAAATCCAATAATGGGCTGAAAAAAGAAACTCTGAATATGCTATCTGTAAACTATGCAAAAGTGATTTAAAATTCAGTTCAGTTGGTTTCCAAGCACTATATCAGAATTCTTCAAAACCTAAACATAATTCAGTGTCTGATCTAAGATTTTCAAAAACTGCTCGTCATTTATATGTAGATTCTAACAAAAACTCTATTGGGGAAGAAAAATTTATACAATTAGAGTTCTCTTTAAATGAAAAAATTTCTGCTGCAGAAGTCATGTGACTTTTTAAAATGGCAGAGAATTAACTTGCCTTAAGACATTGTGACAACACACCAATATTGTTCCAAAAAATGTTTCCAGATAGTAAAATAAGTCAAGGTTTTACTATGAGTCGGCAAAAAGCTTCATATATTTTGCAAGATGACTTGGGCCATTGTTGGAAAAGCGTTTATGTAATAGTATCACGTTAAGTCAAGGTGCATTCACTTTAATGTTTGATGAAACTTCACAAACAAAGAAAACAAATGGATCTTTTATGTCGTTTTTGGTCAAAAGACAAAAACCAAGTTGTTACAAAATATTTAACATCGCTGTTTTTTGGCAGAGCAACAGCAGATGTCAAAACAATGCAGATTTACGTCATAATGAAAGATTTTATTTACCATGGGATTGTCTTTTTAATATTTCAGCAGATGGTCCTAATATTACTAAAGCCATTTGGAAATTGTTAAATGCTGATCTTCATAGCAATGGTTTTAATGGCTTGTTACCATTTGTAAGTTACACTATGTACACAGTGCATAATTCTTTTCAAAAAGCAATTAATGTTGTCGGTGAGGATGCTGAGCAGCTTGCATTTGATTTACATACCTAGTTCAAGGTAATGATTTGAGTAATTTTATACAGTAGAATCCGATTAATTCGGACCCTGGATAAGTTGGATTTGTAAGTCGGACAGATTTTCAATTCCCCTTGAGCTTTCTATTCATACAAAAAGCTTAGCTTATTTGGACATTCGCTAAGTCGGACTATTTATCTATTCCTTGTGAGAGTCTAACTTATCGGGATTTTACTGCAGTTAATACTAAAAGAGAATTTTTTATTTTACCTATGAAGTTATTTTTCTTACATTATTATTATTTTTTATTCTAAAAGTCTATTATACGACTAGCTAATAAAGTGTAGTGTCTCTATATAATTTTTTTTTTCTGTTTTAGAATGCACCCTGTAAAATAGAAGATTTTAAAAAATTTATCAGATTGCATTTTTATTGAAGATGAAACATTGTTTCTTCGTTTTGTCAATACTAGATGGCTCACTCTTTCTTCTTCACTTATAAAGGTTCTATTAAGGTGGGAAGACACCAAGAAATATTTTTTGGAATATGTTCCAAAACAAAAGGAGTATGAAAAGACACTGACAAACAACAAGCGTTATATTCTGATTCAAAGAAGTCTTAAGGAAACTGAAAATGTAATTAAAGTTATTCTTCTTTTTTTTTTTGAATTATTACATATAATAGAGAATGGATTATTTTAGGAGTTACTTGTGTCCATCAAATTCCTTTTTGGTTTAGCTCCCTTGTTTAAGAAATACTTGACAATATTTCAAGATGAAGGACCACTTGTTCATATTTTATTTTATAAAATGAAAAATCTTTTAATATCTTTAATAACACGTTTCCTTCAACCGACTGCTCTTAATGGAAAGCTTACCAAAGATCTTTTAAAAAGTGATTCTTCTGATTCAACTATCCACCTTGATTTGAATAAAATGGACTTTGGCGAGGAAGCTAAAAACCAGGTAATTTTTGATAGATACACATTTGCTACATTTGCCAGTTGCACGTTTGCTACCTGGTAAATGTGTACTTGGTAATTATGTATAAGTAAGTGTACTAGGCAATATAAATTATTTTGTTTATTGTATTAATCATTAGATATTTTATTATTGAAAATTAAGTTTTTTTATTCATTTTCATTGATGTAAATTTTCAATATAATTATGTTTTAGGTGAACAAAATATCATGTGAAAAAAAAAGATTTGTCTGCTTACAGCAAATGAGAGAGGGATATATATCTGTTGTGAAACACTTGCAAAAAAAACTTCCTCTTAATTCGCAGATATTAAAAGATATGACTTGTTTGGGTGCTCAAATGAGATCAGAACCTTGGACTGTTAATGCAATTGGGCAAATAGCAGTTATGATGCCACATGTAATTACGGAAAGGGAGGTGAATATTTAAATAAATTTATATATATATATATATATATATATATATATATATATATATATATATATATATATATATATATATACATATATATATATATATATATATATATATATATATATATATATATATATATATATATATATATATATATATATATATATATATATATATATATATATATATATATATATATATATATATATAATCATAATTTCTGATTTGTAAATTAAACTAATAATAAGTAAATTTTGAAAATTTTAAATAATATGAGTATTTATATTGTTAACATAATCTACTACATAATTAAAATAGCAGAGTACGTTAACCATATAAATATATTATTTAACATTTTCAAAATTTACTAATTATTAGTTTAATTTACAAATCAGAAATTGTTGTTTGTAAATTATTAGTTAACAAACTATTTTAATTTTAATATAATTAAATTTTCCTTAAATTTTAAATGTTAACACTTTCTCCATAACAATTTTATCTTAATTTTTGTACAGGTATCATTTGTGAAAGATGAATGGAAATTATACCAAGCAGCTAATATATCAAAAGACTGGTATATAGATTCTGATACAAAAAAAACTAAAAAGAGTAGACCATTATTGGGCTAAAGTTTTTGAAAGTAACAATGAATATGGAAAAACAAAGTATGGGTATCTCAGTAAAGTTGTTAAGAGCTGTTTAACAATTCAGAATGGAAATGCCAGTGCTGAGCAAAGTTTATCTAATAACAAAAATTCATTGACTCCTGAGAGAGTAAATCTAAATGATGAAACATTAATGACTTTGAGAATATCAAAAGAATATGCAAGAAGTTGCAGAGCAGCATATAATGTTGATGCACTCTCCAAAGACGTTATTCAAGCTGTTCAAAATGCTCATAAAATATATAAAAAAAGAAAAGCTGAAGAAAACGAAGAAAAAAGAAAAAATTATATTCATAAGCAAGAACTAATGAATAAAGAAAAAGAACAGAAAGAAATGCTTGAAAAAGTTAAAAATAAAAATTTAGATCAATAGGAAAAAAGTCTAAAGAATGATGAAAAAAATGCAGATCTTGAGTTTCAGCTTGCTCAGAGAATGCTCGATGAAGCAGCAAAATCTATGCAAAGTGCCATTATTAAGGAAGACATGATGGGTATAAAAATTGCCCATGAAATGGTAAACAGTGCAAAAAGGAAGTCTTAAAAATGCTACATCTCATAGAAATGAACATAAAAAGTTTAGAGAAAATATTGGTTTAAAACGTAAAAGTGAAATGGATAGATTAATTAAGCGTTGCAAAAAATTAAAGTAGTCGTTAAAAGTTTGAAAGTTTTTGTAAATATAATAGAGCTTGAACTGTTAGTTCAGTTATAATTAGTTAGCAAATTTTTTTTATTTATGTTAATTATTTTAGACTTTAGAAAAAACGTTTTATTGCGTGTTAAACAACAAAAAGGTGTTGAGATTTTCATTTTTAAAAGAAATTATTGATGGCGGATGATTTTGTTTGTTATATTGTTTGTTATTTTCTAAATAAAATTATTGAACTTTTCATTTTTATAATGAAATCAGTCATTTTTTTTTCATTTTTTGTCATTTTTATACTCAAAATACCGTCATTTTTTGTCATTTTTTTCGAAAGTTGCTGCTTGACAGCCACATATATATTGAGCACATGTTTTTGAGCACATACATATATATTGAGCACAAAACTTACAAGAATTATTTTTTTAAGCTTAGTAGTCTCAGCCTCTTGAAATGCTGTTTAAGGATTATTTCTGAGCCCCTTGAAATGAAGTGTAAGGAATGTTTCTGAGCCTCTTGAAATTTTTTGCATAAGCAACCCAAGCCTCATAAATTTCATATGCTTATAAAAAAACAAGCATGTATTGTTTTACTTAGATATAATCAATAAGTTTATAAAAAAACAAAATATAACATGAAAAAAATGAATTAATCAAATATTGATATAATGTTCATTTATTTTCAAAAAATTCAATTTTTTCAAAAATTTTAGATATCATATTTTGACTACAGATTTTCTTTTCCTTTTATTTTTAGCCTCAAGGGACTTTATAGAATTAGAAAAAACTTATGAGATATCCTGAAAAATATCTTTCTTGTATATCCTATCAATTTATATTTTTTTATGTCATTAAATATTTTTAAATAGTTGTATAAATATTCAATTTGATACTTTATATTTGTTTTTATATTCAATTTGATGTTTATATTTTTTAATTATCAACTTGAATAATAATTCTTTTTTTTTTTTTTTTAAATAATTTTGATTTTTTTAGATTTAAATTAATGCAATAATAATGTTCCAAATCAACAATCAATTGGTTCTTGATGAAGAGTATGATGAAAACTACCAACCCACTGAAGAAGGTTAGGATCTTCAAATTAACAATAGATTTGGCTGTTAATTACTTTTTAATGTCATACTATGGGGACTACTGTTTACACTTAGCATCTAATTTAATTGTTACCATAGCACCTGCTTTTGATTGTTACCATAGCACCTTCTTTTAATTATTATAATAACACCTATTTTTAATTGTTACTCGTTACATTCACAAAATTTAATGTACACCCACACACAGTGTAAATTTAAAAAGCTTTAAATTTGTTTAAAAATTGTATATTTATAAAATATATTTTCAAACAATTTTGTATTTAAAAATCATAATAAATTTATAACTATTATTTCAAAATTATAATTCTTTTTATTATTAATTAAATAAAAAAAACTTATCAAAATTGATTGAGTTAATTTCCCTCTTAAAGATGTTGATATTATCGGCATTAACAACATCGAAAGGCAACTGATTCCAAATGTTGACAACTCGGTAAGAGAAACTAAATTTGCGAATATCTAGTCGACAATGTTGTTTGTGCAATTTATACTTATGTCCCCAAATGTTGTTTTTGTTGTCAAAAAGAAAGAACATAGATTTATCAATTAAGACCAAGTTATGCAGAATTTTGTAGCAAATCGATAAATCATGCTTTACTCGTCTTAACTCAAGTGACTCCAAATCAAGCAACTGAAGTTGGTTATCGTAGGTTAAATTGCCTAATTGCAGGATTTTTTTTGTGAAACGTTTTTGCACGTTCTCAACAACCTTTATTAGTTCAACATGATATGGTGACCAAACTGGGGAGCAATATTCTAATATAGGCCAAATATATGTATTGAAGGCTTTTACTAAGATTCTAGAATCGCGAGACTTGAAGCATTTTAAAATAGGATATGCTCTAGTATTAGCTGCATGTACAATGTTTGAGATATGCTTTTTATAGTTTAGTTGAGAGTCCAGAGTTACACCGAGATCTTTCGGAATAGAAGACCAAGCTAAAATATGATCTCCTAACTTATAGTTAAAGTTAACAAATTTTCTCGATGAAGCAGGTGCAATCCTATGAACAAAACACTTACTGGTAGAAATAGGTAGTTGCCATGTTTCTGACCAAAGTACTACATTATTAAGAGCAATAGCTAAATAATGGCTATGGTCTGTATTGCAAAATGAACTGTATAACTTGATGTCATCGGCATAAAGTTTTAAAGAGCTGTCAAGATAGTTGACTATAGCGGTTATATCATTGATATATAGTAAAAATAATGTTGGGCCTGAAACGCTGCCCTGAGGAACTCCACTAACGATGCAAGTTGGATTTGATAATGAAGTTCCAACCTTAACTTGTTGACTCCTATTGTTAAGAAATGCAGCAATCCAATTTTTTAAATTACCTCTTATGTTAAATTAAGCTAGTTTGGCTAACAATTTAGGGTGTGATACAGAATCGAATGCCTTTAGAAAGTCGATATATACAACATCTGTTGTTAGATTATTGTCTAGTGCAGTACTCCAATCATTAACAGATTCTAAAAGATTAGTGCATGTAGAGCGTTTCTTGAGGAAACCATCTTGATTATTGGCTATTAAGTTATGGAGAGTTAAGTATTTAATAATATCCGAGTTAATAATTCTTTTCCATTGCACGACAACAGGTGCATGTGAGTGAAAATGGTCTATAATTATTAGGATCTGATGTTGCTCCTTTTTTAAAAATTGGAGAAACAAAAGCTTGAAGCCACTGTTGTAGTAGACTATTTGACTTAAAGCTGGCATCAAATATAAACGAAAGTGGGATACATAAAACAAGAGCTAGCTTTTTCAGAAGAATGTTCGGTATTCCGTCAGGACCATAAGATGTACTCGGTTTGAGATTGATTAAAGTTGAATAAATCGTCTCAACAGAAAAATTAATGTCTTCAATGTTTATCGAGTCGTTAACAAAACTAGTAATATTTGGTGAATAGTTGTTATTGTCCGTAAATACACTTCCAAAGTGTTTATTAAAAACTTCAGCAGTTTCTTTGTTGCTAGAAGTTAACTTGAAATTATTGTCTTTGTTCTTTATAGGGTAGTTCCCTTTATGATTATTTAGTTTATTATTAACATAGTTAAAGAACTTACTGAGTTTACGGTCATCAATTAATTTGAGTTCGATTCTTTTGAGATAAGCAAACAAGGTTTGTTTACATTTGATAGCATATGTTTTGTAAGCTTGTTTATGTAGAATGGTTTTATTAACGGAATTTCTTTTCCATAAAAATAATTTTCGACTTAACATTTTCTTGATATGTTTAGGGTAATGATGACTCTTTTTACTATGACATATTTTTCTTACCGGAACAAAACGGTCTGTTCCAATTCTCATATGATTATAGAAAATGTTCCAATATTCATCAATATTGAATACATAAGAAAACTCGTAGTCCCAATTAATATTCGAAAGGTAAATTAGAAAGTTATCTATATCAGCATTGATGAAATCATAAAAATATTCCGATTTCTTTTCGTACTTATATTTATCATTAATGTTTAAAGAAAAATGGACTGAGTTATGGTCGCTGGTACTAAAAGGGCACTTAACAGAAATTTTACTTAAAAGAGCATTGTTATTAGAAAAAACAAGGTCTAAAATATTGGATTCGTGTGTTGGTTCGTGAACAAATTGATGCATACCAATACTATTGACAAGAGTTAAAAATAAGCTATGACATTTTTCGTTCGGTGAGATGTAGTTTAGCCAGTCAATTTTTGGTAAATTAAAATCACCCACAATAATAAATTGAGAAACTGAGTAGCACAAATCATTTATAATTGACATCATAGAGGCGAGATAATCTATTTTATAGAGTCATAATCTATTTTGGAATAAGAAGGTGGACGGTAGCATGTAATTAAACAAAGTTTGAGGGTTTCAAAGTCAACGCAGATAATATCAACATCATTATTGTTTTGAGTAATCGCAACTTGTTCAGACTTAATATCATGTCGACAATAAATAGCTACTCCTCCAATTTTCACACGGTCTTTACAATAAATTGAATAGCCATTAGGACAAACAATGTCATTGGTTAGTTTATTGTTAAAAAAGGTTTCGCACACGCATATTAAAGCTGGGTTGACTACCTCTGTATATAAATTAAGTTCATGAAGTTTATTAGCTAGGCTTCTGGCATTAAAAATATAAACAGATACTTCTTTATTTGAATTATTTGTTGGGCATATTTTAAAATTATTATTAATATTAAAAATTTTTTGTTTTAAAGAGATGTTTTTTTTTTCTTGTAAGAGAAATTATTTGATTTGATCATTTTGGTTAGTTTTAAACTTGACAATTCGCTCATCTTTGCTCACCTTACTCGTTCGCTCATTGATATTTTTATCATAATATTTATTTTGTTTCAATATTTAAAAGTTTTGCTTATATATCTTATATTAGTTTAAAATTGTTTAACATTAGCGTTTCCACCAACAACAGAATGGGTTGTTAATATTATAGTACAATGTGGAATTGGTAATAGCAACAAAAAGTTATTTTTGGTAATAGAAACGAAAAGTTATATCAGTAGTGATGTTCTGGAAATTCTGATTCTTTGCCCTTTTTTGTCTTTGTTAGCATTTGAAAACCATCGCTTGACTCTGTTAACCTGTCAATTTGAGAAAAAAATCGGAATTTGATGCATGTGATTTGATTTTGATTTTGTTATTTATTATTATACTATATATTATATTGTATCTTTAATTTTTTGGCTAGTAAGTAGTTTAAAAAAACATTGTTGAAAAATAAAATTTAAAATTAATATCAGCAATACATTCCATAAAACCCTCATGAAGGTTGATTATATATAACCAGTAGATAACCAGTAGATGTTTATTTTAAATGGTTTCAAAATCTTACATTACCTTTTATAAAAGTTTTTTATTTGACAAGATGTTTACTTATTTGACAAGATGTTTACTTATTTGACAAGATGTTTACTTATTTGACAAGATGTTTACTTATTTGACAAGATGTTTACTTATTTGACAAGATGTTTACTTATTTGACAAGATGTTTTTTATTTGACAAGATGTTTACTTATTTTAAGCATATGTGCAACTAGTATGGTTAGATTTAGTGTAAAATTTTGAAAGATAATAACTACTAAATAGTGTCTAATTCTGAGTTCTTCCTAGGCGGGTGGGTTGTTGTTCAATAAAGCCATTTTTCACTAATCCAGTAGTCAAGGAACTATATAAAAAAATTCAAAATGTCATTTATGGGCCTGTTTATTTAATTTCAACATGCCTTAATTTATCTCTGAACCACAATGGTCTGAAGTTTTCGGTATTTAGAGATGTTAAAGTTTTGTTTAAAACAGGAATGCAAAGTTCTGTCTTATTTATTTGATCAGTTGAAATAAATGTATAGCTCATTTTCAGAATTTACCTAATGCTATGCATTCCTAACTTTACAATTGATGAATCGTTTAACTTTTATGATGTTCTAATAATTTCACTCAGGTTGTTTAGACTATGGTATTAAACAACTCAGTGCATCAAATTGTCAATCAGCTCCATTAGCTTCGTCTCAACAAAGTGGTAATGACACAGTAAACCACTTGTGTCTTGATGCTATATTTAATATAAAAATGTCTTTTTACAAAAAAAGGTTATGCATCATTTGTGTGTGTATATATATATATATATATATATATATATATATATATATATATATATATATATATATATATATATATATATATATATATATATATATATACATATATATATATATATATATATTTGTATTTTAAAAAAGCAACAAAATTAAATATGAAAGAAATAGAAATTCTGATAGAACTATGTTTATACCCACCATACTTTTTATGGAGCAATGAAATACATGAACTTGAAATTTCAGGTCCGATTAGTCTTTCGTTTATGGTAGTTTTAGCTGAATCGCTGAAAACCAACCCACTTATTGATTTAAAGTCATTTTATAGATACGTAGATGACAGTCATGCTAAAGTCCCTAACATTGCCTAGGCTGATCAATTTAAGACAATACTTAATCAACAACATCCAAAAAATACAATATACTATCGAATTTGAAAACGGCCAAAAAATACTTAATTTTCTAGACATATACATAATAAATAACAAAAATGGTATATATATGAATTTAAAATACACAGAAAAAATGCAATTACTAACATTCAAGTTAAGGCAACATCAAACCATGATCCACAAATTTTAAATGGAATATTTAAGGGTTTCATACATAGAGCATTTAATGTATACAGTCAAAAACATTTAGAAAATGAAGTGAAATTACTTATTCAAGTGTTTGTCAAAAATGGCTACAAACTTCAATTTCATAAAAATCATAAAAGAAAAATAATGAAAGAACAAAAAATCACTAGTGACTACTAAAAACATTGAAAACATCACCAGTACGTATCCAATGATTTCATTACCTTGGGTACCAATAATTATCTCCCAAATTACATAAGGTGTTTAGGAAGGCAGGATATAAAACGGTCTTCAAATCAAACTTGAACTTTGAGGCAATATTAACATCAAGAAATAAATCCCAACTACAAATGAACAGCCACCCAGGAGTCAACCTTATTAAATATCATTGTAACAAAAAGTATATAGGTGAAATAAAAATGCAAATAAACAACACATGCAACAACACAAAATCAGTACAATAGGAATTAAAACAGAACGATCTGCATTAGCCAACAAATTAATTGGGACTCTAAAAGTTGATGCTAAAATTTTGATAGGAAAGTTTGTGAGGCACTCAAAATACGGTACCACTAATGTGCCCCTCAACAAAATGGTATCAATTTAGATGAGGAACAATATGTGTCAACAAAATTTTGGACACCATTTCTGGCCACTTATGTCAGAAAAAGATGAAACCATCTCATTGATATAAAATAGAACTGCCATTTTAAAAATAAGATATAAACAAAAACAAACAAAAAACTTTTAAGCTGAAGATGCTGGTCACAACAATCCAGTGAAACTTTCTTTTAAAAAATAAATTTATTATTGAGAGAAATTCGTATTTATTGATGTTTATAAAATAATAATTTATATACTCTCATACATGATGTCTGCATTCAAATATATATATATATATATATATATATATATATATATATATATATATATATATATATATATATATATATATATATATATATGTATATACATATACACATAAATATCTGTGTGATATGAATAACTGTGTTTCTTATCCAATAGAAGTATATGAGTATGCCCAAGTTATTGGTATTGATCCGTTGAGGGAACCTGAACTTCTTTATATTGCTCGTCAAGGAATTGTGGCACCATTACCTACTGATTGGAAACCATGGTAACCGATTTTATTTTATAATTATTTAACTTTTTATTTGTTTAAACATATTTTAATTTATAAATACTTGTTGCATACCTTATTTTAAGTGTAAAATAAAACTTTAATTTTTTTTGGTACTGTATAAATTAAAAAAATTTAAAATGTCTGAAATGAAAATGGTCTTTTAGTATTCCAAACTCAAAACTTGGATGTGAAGTATTTTTATGTAGTTAATATAATTAGATTAATGGATTACGTAAAAATAAAAAATAAAATGGGATAAAAAAGATCTAAGTAATCAAGTTAATACTAATTAACACTTTAATAAGTGTAAGCTTCATCACAAGTTTATCATTAGTTGTCATTTTTATTTCACAAATTGTTTTATTGTAATGGTTGCACAAAATATTCTATGGTAATGATTGCACAAAATATTTATTTGTAATTGTTGCACAATGTGTTAATAGCACTAATTATTCGATCGTACCAAATGTTCCATTGTTGCAGAAAAAATTTCTTGGTAATGATTGGACAAAATATTTCATTGTAATGGTTCCATAAAATATTTCATGGTAATGTTGCACAAAATATTCTATTGTGTTGATAGCACAAAATATTCCATCGTAATGATTACACAAAGTGTTTCACTGTATTAATTGCACAATAACTTTATGACAATTTATTGCTAATTTTTTTACCCATTTATGCAAAGGAAAGTTTTGAAACGGTCTTATGTTTTAAAATACAAATATTTTTTATTAAAATTTGATTTAATTTGAGTTAAAGAACATTACATTTGGTTGAGTTAGGGAACATTACAATTGGTTGAATTAGAGAACATTACATTTGGTTGAGTTAGGAATTTACATATGGATATATTACAATTATGGTAGAACATAAAATAAAATTGATCTTTTATTTTATTCATATTTACAAAAGAACAAATAAGTAGTTTCTACTTATAGGATGTATAAATTATCATTCAAATAATTATTTGTTATATATTTTTGTATTATTATTTAGCCAAGATCCTAGTGGTGACATTTATTACTTTAATTTTTCTACTGGTGACAGTGTATGGGATCATCCGTGCGATGAACATTTTAGAGAACTCGTTGAAAAAGAAAGAATGCTTTTACGAAAGAAATCTTTAGAGAAAAAGAAAGTTAAAAAAAATAAAGACCAAAAATCCAAAAAAGAAGTATCTTATTTTTTATTAACTTTTTTTGTTTTACTTTTTTTTCTTTTTAAAGTTTTATATTCATGTTTAAATGACAAATTGTATTGAATGTTTTAAATATGAGTTTTATTTATGGTTTTTATCTTTTTTTACATTATGATAGTTATGATAAATTGTGAAAATAAAAATATATAATAATAGTAGTAATAATATAAATTTCTTTAAAGGTGTGTCTCTATTACGTATAATATATAAATATAAATATAAAACATCAGTTTGACAAGGTTCATAGTCATTTGTTCTATTAATAAATTTTTCAAATAACAATTATAAAACAGAAATATTTAAGCTCCTATTTGTTTAAATTGCTTAAATATTGTTAGTACACTTTCCCAATGACTAGTTTTTGTATACCTACTCATTCGTAGGTATACAAAATGTATACCTACGTGGTATGCATGCATCCTTATTCAGGTATGAATAAGAATGTGTGCATACCACACATTCTTATTCATACCTGATTTTTGAGTGTCAAAATATTGTGTTTCTAAGATGACAAATATAAGAAAGTTCTTTTTTTTGAATGACAAGATGTGGTAATTGGTTGAAGTAGTAACAGATTGTTTGGTTAGAAAAATTGTAGCAGAATTTATCATTAAGTAAATTCTGCTAAAATTATATTTATTACAAACAACAAAAAGTTGGTTAAAGTTTTTATTTTTAAAAGTTATTTATGTTCAATAACTATGTTGCATTTAATTGTTGTTTTGTTGTGTTTAAAAAATTACTTTGTTGTGTTTTTTTTTTTTTTTTTTAAACATGTGTTTTTTATTAAAACATTTTTTTAATTAAAACATGTTTTTTTTATCTATTCACATGTTTAAATTTTTTTTTTTAACAGAACTTTGGTACTCTTGCTCCTTTAAAGGGGGAAAGTGGGCCACAACTTTCTTCGCTTAAGAGTAACCATGGTAAACTTGGATCACTATTGTCTACAGTTAATCCTCTTGGAACCACTTCGCAAAGTAATATGAATCCACTAGCCAAATCTACAATTCCTTCAAAAATTGGTTTAACTGCAGATTTAAAGAACCCAACTAAAATAAATGTATGATTTTTCATTCCTGGTAATTTTTTTTTTCCTTTTTTTTTTAACAATACTGTATTTTTATTTGATTTATTTTAACTTACCTGTTTTTAACTGTTTAGAATACTGAAACAAAAACTTATTCAAAAAACAATTTGAGAGATTCATTTGCATTTTCACTTGGTAAAACAGGTGAAAATGTTAACTTTGAAATGTCTGATTTAAGTGAGGTTAGGTTTTTATCTAAATATTGATTTAATCAATTTTTCCTTTTCTATTGTATTAAATTTATATAATGAATTGGATTTTTTTGATGAGCTTGAATCATGCTTTTTTGTTTATATTTTTTAGTATTCAGATGGCAAACCAAAATTTACTCTTGGACTTCATGCACAAGATATTGCTAATCTCAGCTATGATGTAATAATTCATTGTTTTGGAGCTGATGGTTAAATTAAAATTTTCTCATTAAATATCTTTTATTACTATGTCATATAATACCATAATTAAATTGTTCTCCAAACATGAAACCCTTACTCCAAATAGTAGTCTAAATAGAAATCCATACTCCAAATATCGTCTTTTTATTAATCACAAAATTTTTATTTCTTTCTAATCTGAACCTGTCTATAAGTTAAAAGTGGACTTTTGGGCATTAGATTTATAAAATAGAGGTTACTTGCAGCCATGTTAAAAATAATGTTTAAAAAAAACAACAACAATAAATTAGCATATTAGTTATAATTTTTGTAAAAAAAAGTTTTGAAATTTATCTTGCAATAATACCTTACTCTAATGGTTGCTGTATCAAATGTTGCTATAGTAACTGAAGTAATGCTTGCTCAATAATGGCTGAGGTTGGTTTATTTAGTTTATTTTAGCCTGTAATATAAGTTTAGCCCAGAATAAAATATAAAGTCTAAATAAAGTCTTTTAAATTAAAAAAAAAATTTTTTTGGAAAAAAATTTTAATCTTTTTTTTTGAAAAAAAAATTAAATACTTTACATCCACAGTTTGGATGCCAAATATTTAATTAAGGCATTTATATGGAAGGCATAGCGGGTTTTCATTTTTGAGGATTATGAAGAATTATTAGAAGTGATTCTACTTGATGAATTTTTACTTAAAAATTCTCAGGTCTAGGACAATTCAGTCATTGTGATATATTTGCTGATGTATATATATATATATATATATATATATATATATATATATATATATATATATATATATATTTTTATATATATATATATATATATATATATATATATGTATATATATATTGACTTATAAAGTGTTTCAAAAATTTGCGGCAAAAAGCTAAACTAATCTACTAAGAAAAAAAATATCTTAAAACAAAGGAAACAAACACAATCTTTAAAAAAGGAAACAAAATTGTAACAAAATATCAAGTTTAATTAAATAAACTAGAAATTTAATAATTAAAAAAATAAATTAAAATTTTTTTTTTTTTTTCAAATAAATTTTTATACAACTTTTGTATTCCTTTTTTTAGAATTGTTGACAAAAACAATATCTTTTATAACGATTTAAGAACAATTGAAAGTTTTGATATGCAATTTATTTACGATTTTTATCAGTCCATATAATTGAGAAAATAATTTACTATATACACTAGTGTTATAAGAAATTTTTAAAAAATTTTTCTTACGTTTGTTCGTTTATTATGTTTATTTGTTTTTATGTCTTTTCGCTTTTAAAATGTTTTGGCTATATTTGATGTTTTTTCTCAATATCTATTTGATGTTTTTTCTCAATATCTATATAATAAGAAAATAAGAAAATAAATTATTTATTTTTAAAAAATAATATTTGATTAATAAGTTTTGTAATGACGGAATAAGTTAAATAAAAGAATAGCATAGTTTCTTTAATAAATGTATTTACCGCATTTGGTGCATATTTAAAATTGTTTCTTTTATATTGTCTATGTTCCAATGTTAAAACGAATCACTAGAGATAAAGAACATAGCGATTGCTCTGTTTAAAAAAATGTATTTAAAAAATTGAAAAAAATTTTAAATCTGCTTCTAAAAATTTTGTTAAAAAAGTTCAATAAATTAACAATCCGCAAGATTGGAGCATCATTTCATTTTTTTACATGAAAAACTTGTTAAAAAAATTTTCTCTTTTACAAATAAATACCAATTAATTTTCTCGCTTTTCTATGCATTGATAAAAACAGTAAAGTTTAACAAAGCCATTTGAAAAACAAATTTAAAAATTGTCCATATTTCTAGCGCAAATTATAAAGTATTTCCTTAATATACTGACTGAAAAAAGTTGCAAAAAAATAGTATATCAAAAAATGTGTTTTTTTTTTTTTTATTATCTACTTGACTTGTATCAATTTTGGTAGTAGAAAATAACAAACGCCCTAATAAAAAGAAGAAATAAAAGAGTAAAATATTTTATTATTTTTTTGACAACAATTTTCTCTTTTTAATTTTAGCTTTTTTTATTTAGATTTTCTATTTCGTATAGTATTCGGTTTTTTTCTTTGAGTATTGCTGTTTTATTCTCTAGTTTCATATAGCTTTATTTTGCCGCAAATTCTTAAAATGCTTACTATATAAAAACGTGGTCAAGTTGTCTAAAAAAATTACTTTAAGCCTGGGCGTGCAACCGTATGCGCTTTCCAGGAAGGGTTGATATATATATATATATTAGTTTTGTTTTGCTTTTAAATAATTTTCAATTTAGGAATCTGATGGTGATAATCAAAGAAGTGCTGATGATAAAGACGATGAAACTGAATTGGTTAGGATTTTTTATATATCTTTCCACCTCGTTTTTATATAAACTTTTTTGTTCATTTTCATTAAAAAAAAAAACAGAATATTTTTTTAAAATTATATTTACATTTTAGTTCTTAAATACTTGTATGCAAACTTGTTTTTATATTATTTAATTTATGCTAGTATACCTTTCATGTTTTATTTTTTTTTTAATTTTTTTTTTTAATTTTTTTTAATTATCTTCGCTTCCAACAAGGTAACCACTTATTAGTGTTGCAAGATAATCACTTATTAGTGTTGGAAGTTACTGGAAGAGAAAAGATGAAGATTGTAGAGCAAGATAACGATTGACAGACGACTTAAAATATTGCAAATTATATGAATCAGGAAAGCAAGATGAAGGAAGCGAATTCCAAAGAACTGATGTTCGAGGAAAAAAACTAGACGAATAAGAGTTTTTGGAGCACTTAGGAACAGTAACAGAAAAAGGATGAGACTTAATTGAATGACGAGTAACACGAGAATGAATTTTAGTAGATGGCACAAGAGACGCTAGCTCTTTAGAGCAGTGCCCATTATAGTATTTGTAGAAAAGAGAAAGAGAAGCAACATTACGACGATGTGACAGAGGTTGAAGGTTGGCTGCAAGAGCAGGTCCAACTATGTTTACAATGCGTTTTTGCACCTTGTCTAAAAGAGAAAGAGCATCATTAGAAGATCCGCCCCAGATATGGCAACAGTATTTCATACAAGGCCGGATTTGAGATTTATAGAGATAGAGAATAGAATCCAGAGTAAGAAAGTGACGAGCTCGATAAAGAGAAGCAACTTTAGCAGATGGTAATTTTGCAACGGATTTGATATAAGGTTTCCAAAAAAGATCAGAAGTAAGAGTTAATCCTAGAAGATGAAGGGTAGGAGACTCATCGAGTACATTACCGTTCATAAATATAGGAAGGTCTAAATTATTGCGATAATGATTGGCCGAAAAAAATTGAGTTTTATCTGAATTAAAGTTCACCAGCCACTGCGAGCCCCATGCTGTAGCAGAAGTGAGATCCTTTTCGAGCTCAGATGCCCCCTGCAAGCAATCAGAGGGAGTTGGCTTCTTATCGTGACAAGAATAAATGGTAGTATCATCAGCGAACAGTGCCACCTTAGATGTGAGAAAATCTGGAAGATCGTTAATGTAAATTAAAAAGAGTATAGAGCCAAGGATTGAACCTTGGGGAACCCCTGAGGTTACAGAATAAGAAGAAAAGTGCTGTTCATCAGGGACAACTTTTATACTACGATTGGAAAGGAAGGATTCAATAATCTTAAAGAGGTTTCCAGATACACCATAAGAAGAAAGCTTATGGAGGAGACCAGCATGCCAAACTTTATCAAACGCTTTAGAAATGTCAAGAGCAATGGCCTTAACCTCTCCACCTTTATCTAATGCGCGATAAAACCTATCGGTTATTACTGATAGCAAATCAGCCGTAGAACGAGAAGATCGAAATCCATACTGATGATCAGAAAGTAGGTTATGAGATTCGAGATGAGAGATTAAGTGTTTGTTAATTAAAGATTCAAAAACCTTGCTTATGATAGGAAGAAGACTAATGGGACGGTAGTTAGATGAGTCAGATCGCTCTCCAGAATTTTTAAAAATAGGGATAACAGATGCTGCTTTCCAGCAGGCTGGAAAACAAGTCTCTGATAAGCACTTGTTGAATAGTTTTGAAAAGATAGACGACAGCTCAGGAGAATACTTCTGCAAGACTATAACAGGTATGTTGTCCAGGCCGCAAGCTGTAGAAGAGTCTAAGCGGGAAATCACTTTAGATACAAAAGCTGGAGTGATACGAATGTCGAGCAATGGATCAACCTGTTTGACGGGTATATCAGGTAAAACGCAACTAGTGGCATCAAGAGATGATATTGATGAAAAGTTCTTGGCAAACAATTCAGCTTTGTCTTTAGGTGAAGTGACAAAGTCTGAACCGTACAAAAGAGGTGGAATTACAGACTTGCACTTATTATTGATACTATTAAAGATTCTCCAGAAGTCACGAGAGCCTAATTTTTGTGATGAAATATGAGATTTCATGATCTGAGAATAGCAGGTTTTGGCGTTAGACAAAACCTTTTTACAATGGTTCCTAGCAGTAATAAAGAGACGTCTGTTTTCTGGAGAATTGTTTTGCTGATAGATATGGAAGTAATGGTTTCGATTGGCAATTGCAGCAGCACAATGTGAAGAAAACCATGGAGAAGAGTGAGGCTTGACCTGGAATCGTCGGGAGGTAATAAAGGATTCCATGCCAGCCTGAATCCACGAAGTTATGTAAGAAGCACATTTGTCAACAGGGAGACGAAAGATTTCTACCCAGGGGCCATCACGAAGAAAGTCACGAAAAGAGTCCCAGTCAGGTAGTTGTAAGATGTACGATGATAGGGGGATTCCAATGGTGAAGAAGAATGAGATAATAGTTTTAGAGAGACCAAACCATGATCAGACGCACCTTAGGGTGAGTGTGAAGAAACTGAGCTCTGACTAGGATCAGAAACAAGACATAAGTCGAGTAGAAAAGGTAAATGGTTCGGGTTGTCTGGAAAGCGAGTTGGAAAGTTGACTATTTGAGTTAGGGATTGAGAAAGACAAAAGTTGTGGGCCTTAATGCCTGCAGAGTCACTGACACTAGAGCCAAGCCATTCAGTGTGATTAAATATTAAAGTCACTTGGTCAATATAATCAGAAATAACATCAAGAATAGTGCAGTCTTGGGATGAGGGAGAGCGATATAGAACAAAGAGAGAGGTGATAGAGTGAAGTGGTGCTAAACGAAAGCACATAAAAGAGTAGTCTGTGGATTCAAACCTAGTTTCCCAACAAATGGGTGAATTCTTACGAATGTAAATGCCCAGGCCAAGCATGTGACTATTGGAGTCTTTACGAATTAAAGGAAGATAACCATCAACACTAAGATCACAAGATGAGACAGCTGAACTCAAATTAGTCTCACAAAGAGCAAGTAGGTCTGGTGAACTTTGCAAGAGATAAGACTCAACAGAAGAAAAGTTACTTCGAAGACCACGAATATTGGTGAATGATAGGTTTAGCAAACTTAGTGATGACTGTGGTTTTTTGTGTTTTATAGTTTTTGTTACTTTATTCATTTTTAAATTTGTTAAAGAACTTGACTCGAAACATTGATAGTACTCAGTACACTGTTCTATAGCTCAAGCAATTGCCTCATTTCCACTAATAAATCCTAAGCCGTAACAAAGGGCTCCAATGTGGCCTTGGCAATGCACACCAAAAGTACAAACAGGGACACCATCCATGCGCAACATGGCACTGTTAGTACTCTGATATTTTTCAGCTGTTGATGGAATCAGCCTCTCTGAGAGCTACCACAGAGTTCGGGAAACCTGACTACCAGCCTGCCTCAGAACCATAAAACTGAGTTTTAGAGCTGTACCCTCATTTGGAGATAATAGAATGAGTTGCCTAGTCATAAAAACAGAGACACAAGCAAAACCCATGAATCGAGTCAAGAAGATCCAGCGTTCAACATCCTAAACTGGAAACAATGTATTAAAAATACATCTGCGCCAGCCTAATAGATGACGAATATTTTATGCTAGTATACCCTTCACTAGAGGTGAGCAAAACCAGATACACAGAGTATCCGGTTTCGCTCAGTTTTTTAAAATCGGATTTAGATTTTAACAAAGTTGCTAATTGAGTTGCTAAATGTGATTATCATATGTATAGTACATGGTTTCCGAAGTGGAGGTGCACAACCGTCAATTTTTAAAAAAAGTCCTCTGTATCTAGAAATTTCTAAAAAAAAAATCCTCCAAAAAGACCAAAGTTGCATGCTCTGTGATAGGAATGTTGTTTTAGTAGACAAGAAAAGAAAAGAAGAAAAAAAGACAGATTTCCATTACCCTCAGAGTTGGTGTTGTTTGTCAAATAACAGATGTAAATAAACATTTTACTGTTGTTAATGTTGAGCATCCATTGACAAATAACATAATAGATAATGGAATCCTTATAGTTAAATTCCTTTTAAACTCCTTGATTACAAAAGTGTATATGATTCTTTGCAGAATAAGGTTCATTAACAGGATCAGCGAGTTTAGAAGAGCTAAGTTTGAAATGGAGCATGAACCAGTCAGTCAAATTTTGATAACTTTAGAATATGTAACTTTTCTGATCTTTAAAACAGTCAAGTTTACTAATATTAATCAACTTCTCAATCATGCTTACTTGTTTGAAGAAGTAAGTTTTTATATAAACTCTAGAGAAAATGAGGAAAATGAAAGAAATATATTTTTTATAGAAACCTTAGAGGAATGATGAATCAAGAAAAAAATTTAATGAGTTTTTATATAAATTAGTTTAAATATTTAAAAACTGTTTATCTGTTTTTTTTTCATATTTTTTTTCTTTTAATTTTATTCTTAAAAGTTTTTCTGTATAATAAAATTTTCATTTAATTTATCAAGTCATTATTATTTAGTTATTTTTTTATACATATTTATTTTTAATTATAAATTATTACTTTATTAATATTATCATGTTTTATTGTATTCTGGTGTGTTGTTTTTTTTTAAATTCTCTTTTACTGTATATTAGAGGACTAATTAATTTATATTTTAACAGTTTTAATATTGTATTGGTAATACCAATATTATTAACAACTCACTCTTGGTAAGAAAGTGCTTAGTAGGAGTAACATTCTGTGACTAAGTGACTTTAATAGGATCCTTTAATTGAATTCAGTTTTTTTATATTTGAACTAAGTATGAAAATATTTTTGTTTTGTTTTTAATATAAAGACCACTCAGAAATAGCAAAGTTTAATTTTGCTGAGAATTGATTTTGATTTTGAGAAAAAACAGATCCACAAAAGTTTTTTTTTCTCCTTTTTTTCCTAAACAAGTTCATTTCCAAGAAGTAGAAGTAGATGCAGAGAATTAAAGGACAAAAAATGGTTGACAGAAGGCTGAACTGTTTATCAGGAAAATATACCTAGGAATCCCTTTAATGGTTTAGAGAAGTACAAAATGTTTTTTTTAATGCTTCTTCTAAGTTTATTAGCAGTATATATTGTGTAATGGTCAATTTGTTTCTCTGCACAGCGTTCTTTTTTTTTTTAGATTCATGTTTTGAAACTATAGGGTTAAGAAAGAGTTGAAACTTTTTTTTTAGTGTGTGTGGCCCATATAAAAATTTTAATTTTAAAAGATAGAGATTGTATAAAAAATGTTGTGAAATCTTTTATTTCTACAAGTCATATTGTGTATACTGAATATTTATTGAGACTCTTTGTCATTCAATTAAAAATTATGTGTAACCTTGTTAAGTGTGTGTAACTTTGTTTATTGTGCGTAACCTTGTAAATTATGCATAACCTTGTTAACTCTTTTTAAATCTTTTTACTTTATTTATTTATTTTTTTTAATGATTTATCAGTCTTGTTTTTTTCTTTTTAATCTTTTTTTTTAAAACTAATAAAAATTGATTCTCACATATCTTTTTCTCAAATCAATTTTTTAACTTATTTAATTAATTTTTTGTGATTATTTGTTAAAATATTGAAATTTTAATTTTTAATTTGGTTTTAAATGAAATCAGTTAGCAGTGTGATTTGACAGGTTTTAAGTACTGAGAAAGTAAAAAGTGAAAAGAGAACCGCATTTTGTTAAGAAAGAGCCCATAAAGCATTTTGAACTTACCAAAGTTTTAAATTAAATTTGTGAACATTTTTTCCTACTGTTAAATGCTTTTTTGTATGCAAAAACATTTTAACTGAGAAAAAGCATTAAGTTTTTATAGTATATAGTTATACCCAAGTATATACCCATCATATGAGTTGGTAAAATTTTTATTTAAATATCAGAATGACTGTATAATAGGGGAAAATGGTGATATAAAATTAGCAACAACATTTTATTTAACTTGCTTTCTTGTCAGTTTGTTTTTTTATTATTTTGGTGTCTGCGCAAAATAAACACCAGGTCAGCGGTAATAATAAAAGAAATCATTAAAAAAAGTAATTAAAACAAACAGCGAAAAATAAACTTTGGTTTAGTGTAAAAAAAAGAAATTGTTAAGAAAAGTAAAACAAACAATAAACTAAAATTTTGAATGTTTTGGTTTAGCATAAATAAACTTTCTTAGCAAAATAAAAAGTACTTAATAAAAAAAATATAAAAAAAAAAAAAAAATTTAATGTTGTTTTTAAAAGGTTTCTACATATATATATATATATATATATATATATATATATATATATATATATATATATATATATATATATATATATATATATATATATATATATATATATATATATATATATATATTTTACTTATATAAACAAAAATTAATGAATGAGGCATATTGTAAAAGTATGGATGCTGCAATCCATCATTATCTCATTTCAGTCTTTAAATTTTTTCTTATTTATTGTTTAGTAAATACCAAATATTTGATAGTGGAAATAGTGGAAAGTTGTTTATATTAATAATGAAAACAAAAGATCTTCTGGCTGGCCATTATTGTTTTTTGAAAACCTAATAAAAAAAAATATATTAGCCAAATATTATTTAATGTTTTGTTTATGGTTTTGTAGATATTTATACGCAACTCCTATAAAATTGTAATTTCAGTATTTAATTATGTGTAAGTTATACAAATTATATATATATATATATATATATATATATATATATATATATATATATATATATATATATATATATATATATATATATATATATATATAAGCTACAATTCGATAGAAAAAGCGTTGCAAATACACCGTTATTTGTGTAACCCAACGTTTTTCTCAAACAAAATCGATCAAACGTAAATCTGGTGGTGGAAGAAAGAACAATTTTAAAGATAAAAAATGATAAAGATAAAAGTTAGAAAACTGGTTAACAGTTTTAAGACTAACCCAAGTCTTTCACTAAGGCAAACATTTATGGACTTTTTTATAGTTTTGTTGTAAAAGTTCAGAATAAACATTGTTTTCATTCTTTTAAAGCACAAAAAGTGCCCAACCGATCTGAAACTCAACAAAAAAGTGCAAAAAACTGCTGCAGAAAGTTGTATGACAATTTTATTTCCAAATATTTCTGTATTATTGAAGGCGATGAAACTTATATCATGTATGATCATCAGCAAATTCCTTGTGTCATCTATTATATTGCCAAATTTGGAGGAAAAACAGATAAGAAATTTATATACATAAAGCATGACAAGTTTGCAGTTTGCTAAAAAAGTCTTGATTTGGCAAGCTATTTGCAGTTGTGGCAAAAAATCAGCACCTTATATTTCTCAGTTCACACTTTCAGGTCAAATATATGTTAAAGTGTGTTTACAAAAACGCCTTTTACCTCTCATTAAATCACACGATAAGAGACCTATTTTCTGGCCAGATTTAGTTTCAATTTATTATTGTAAACTAGCTTTGGAATGGTATAAAAATAATAATGTGAAATTTGTGCCTAAAACAGAAAATTCTCTAGACTGCCCAGAATTAAGGGTTATTGAAAAGTACTAGGCCATTATTAAAAGAAAAATGAAAAAAACAAAAAAACTTTGCAGAAATATTAAAGATATTAAAATATCATTTAAAAAAGCATCAAATGGCTTCAATTCTTAATCTATGCACAAGCTTATAAGGTACCACCAAAGCAAAAGTTCGAAATTTTATTAGATTCCCACAAGAATAATTTGAATTTATTTTTATATTTGATCTTCTTATATTATTGTATTAAACTTATTACTTGGTTGGAAATAAAAATTGAAGAGTACTTTTTTTAGTTGTTTTTCTACTTTCACATTTATTTTGTGTACACACTTTATATCCACATAATTATGTTGTCCACATTATATGTTATGTGGTGAAAAAAATTATGTTGTCCACATTATATGTTATGTGGTGGAAAAAATTATGTTGTCCACATTATATGTTATGTGGTGGAAAAAATTATGTTGTCCACATTATATGTTAAGTGGTGGAAAAAATTATGTTGTCCACATATGTTATGTGGTGGAAAAAATTATGTTGTCCAAATATGTTATGTGGTGGAAAAAATTATGTTGTCCACATATGTTATGTGGTGGAAAAAAATATGTTGTCCACATATGTTATGTGGTGGAAAAAAGATTTGTTAATAACTCTAATAAAGATTTTTCTAAGTTCTTATTTAATACTTGAGATCTAGTAATCTACTTTGTAATCATAGATCTGCACTAATCTTTACACTGTGACAATCAATCATGTCATAAAAGTATTATAAATTATTTCAGCTAAGTTTGACCGCACTGCCACACTAAACTACAACAACTAAGTTTCAAAGTTGTTGCTTTTGTATTCCCGTTTGTTAGAACTTTTCTTTTTGGATGGAAAACTTTAAATAGGTTTTTTTTTATAAATATAATATACTTTATGAAATAAAGTATTATATTTAATAAATTTTAATAATAATTTATTTAATGTAGGATTTTGGTATTAACTCAGGCCTTGCAGCTCGTTTAGAAGGTATGACCGTAGAAAATCTTCCACGATATAATATGTCTAATGATGATGATGACAGCGATAGCAAATCTTTTAAATTTGATATTAAGAATTCTTTCAATGAAGATAAACTCCGGCAAGAAGTTTTAAAAATAAAACAATCAAATGAAAAATTAGACCCAGACCAAAATCTCTGGAAAAATGTAAAGCTTATGAACAATGCAAATTTTCTATTAAAAACAAATGAAGCATCTGAAAGTTATCCAAACAGCAACAGGTATAAAAATTTTGTGTTTTTGCTACATTGTGATGTATAATACTGTAACACTTATTCATTTAAGTTCATTATAAAAAAAAATTCTTTAAAAAAACACAAAAGATTTTTAAAAAAGTTACACCTCTCTGATAATCACTTCCACTTAATTCGTTGTCATTTAAAAAACAGTTATTTTATATAACCATTCCATGTAATTGTAATATACAATAATATACAAATTCTTGGCAATTTTATGCGTTGTGATTTCTTGTTATGCTCAATATTATACAAACAATAATTTTATGTTTTAGTATGGATGATGAAAATGTCATGATTCTTGAGCGTTTTCAAAAAGGTGTTGACATTAATTCATCAGCCAATTTAGAAAATCGGTCTAAAGATTTAAAAAATTTCAAAGAAAAGTTAATGAAAGAAGAAACAGAAGAAAAAGAAAAATTAGATGCTCAACTCAAAGCTGATATTGCAAGTAAGAATTCATGTCTAAGCAAAAGTCTATATGTAAATATATAGCTTTGCTTAGACACTTAAATACATTGCAAACGTTGAAAATTAACTCTTTAACATGTAGTGTTGAATACGACCTTATAAAGAATAATAACATGTAGTGTTGAATACACCTTTATAAAGAAAAATATGAAGGTTCTGCAAAAACTAATTAAGTTTAATTGTACACTCATAGTCATGTATGTACTTGTTTAAAGCGTATAAATTTACTTATAAAAATTATTATTAAAAAAAAAACAAAATAAAAATTAAAGTAAAATATATTTTGTTATTTTTGAGGTTTATTTAGAAGTAATTTAATTAAATTAATTTCAATTTGTTTACTTAAATTTTCAATTTAAATTTATCTAAATGCAGTTTGTCACCATTTGTAATATACACACACACACACACATACACACATGCACAAGCATGCACACATGTAGTAAGAATACTAATAATAAATTAATAATAATTTAGAATTGCGTTCAGAGTATGAAAGTGAAAAGCTAGATGAAGAAAAAAAGCTCAAGGCATGTTTTTAATCATGAATATATTTATACCCTTGTTAAGGTATTCATTGAAATTTTTTTTTTGGAAGTTAAGATGTATGCATGATCAAAACTTGTTTGGCTTTCAAAGAAAATTAATAATTTCAAGAACACCAACAATAGATTTGAATTTTTAAAATTGTTGAATTTTTAGTGTTATATAGATAAGTAAACCAATAAAAAATACCTAGCTGATAAACAGCTCACCAATAAAAAAATGCTAAGCTGATAAACAGCTTACCAATAAAAAATGCTTAGCTGATAAACAGCTTACCAATAAAAAAATGCTTAGCTGATAAACAGCTAACCAATAAAAAATGCTTTGCTGATTAACAGCTAACCAATAAAAAATGCTTTGCTGATAAACAGCTAACCAATAAAAAATGCTTTGCTGATAAACAGCTAACCAATAAAAAATCCTTTGCTGATAAACAGCTAACCAATAAAAAATCCTTTGCTGATAAACAGCTAACCAATAAAAAATTGCAGTAGAATAAGAACAATTATAAAATCAAAACCTGAAAAAATAATTAAACAGTGCATAGAAAAGTAGAAATTTGAGATTGAGATTTAAGTTGCCATATATAAATAAACCTTTATTAAAAAACTCTGCTTTCATCTGCATACATTTTTTATTTTTTTCAATTATATTTATTTTTAAAATGTTAAACACATTTAATTGTGCAGAAATTTAAAACTTGTTTTGTGATAAAAAAATTTTAAAATAGTATATAGTAAGTTAAGTGGTAATATTAATGTAAAATATTTTAGGGAAGAGTTTAAAGCAATTAAAGAGTTTTAAATGCTGAATATTAGACAATTGTCATTGTGAAAAATTAAAATATCCTTCGAAATTAAGTTAATGTTTTGGCACCATCAATAGTGATGAGTTTCGACTAAAATGAAAAACCTCCTTGTTCAATGAAATATGTATGCCTCAAAAAATTGTAGATACATATAAATTTACTCAGGCATATTTAATTATTTATTTACATAAGAAAAACATAATTTGTATAATTTAGTAAGTCATACAAATTACCTTGCTTTTTCATTCTTAGTAGAAAAAAATATATATTTTTAAAATTTTCTGTTAAAGCAGTAAACATAATATGCTACAACCGGTATGAAAAAGTTTATAAAATTTTAACAATTGGTATGAGCGTACTGGTCCGTACTGGTAGAATATCATCACTGTGTATGGGATACATTATAAATATTATTATATAAGATTATTATAAAAATAAAATAATAAAAATTGTATTAAAAAAAATTGCTAAATTGTTTAATATATTAATCTCAACTTAAATTTGTTAAAAGATTGTTCTTCAGTGTTGAATAAAATTTGATTTATAAAGCAGTTATAAATGTTTGTTTATTTTTTTAATTTTTATTTTTTATTTTTTCAATTTTTTTAAATTGCAAATATTGCAGCTATGGCAAATTTGTTTGCAACATTGCAACATGTTTGCCAGTATGGGCCAGTACACTCATACTGGTAGTTAAAGTTTTTTACATTTCTCAAACCGGTTGTTGCATATTAAAAATTAGCCTATGCAATTTTTTTTATTTTTGATTGATAACAAAAAGATTTTTTTCAATCAATCAATTTGTATTTGTTATATAACAATTTGATGACATAATATCATAATTTTATGAAGTAGCATCTGCCACCTTGAATCTTTATTAGTGGCTTTATGTTGTAATTTTTAACATAAATATATACTAGCAGCATTGCATGTTTATGTACTACTCCAGCAGGATATTTGATTATTTAGTTTTCTATCCAATAGTTGGCAATCAAAACTGATAACAGCTGAATTGTATTGCTAATAATTAAATTACACAATTGTTGGTAAAATGACTGGCTCTGATCAACAAAAAAGGGTTAATATTGCAACATGATAAAGCCTGGCCACATGCAACAAAATTAATCAGAGAAAAAAATAAGGTAGCTAAACTGGGAGGTTTTACTACCACATCCTCTCTATTGCCCAGACAACTTCATTTGATTATTATTTTTTGAATTTTTTCTACTTTAATATATATATATATATATATATATATATATATATATATATATATATATATATATATATATATATATATATATATATATATATATATATATATATATATATATAGTTTTGAAATTTGAAAATGAGTTTGAATGAAATTTTACAGGAAGAACTTAATCTTGAAGTACAGAAGTTAAAAGCTAAGTATGAGATAGAAACAAAAAATGAAGAAAACAAAATTAAAATTGATCATCAAAGTATTATAACTCAATTAAAAAGCAAGCTGGATGCAGAAATGCAGCAATTCACAGCAAAATTGAAAGAAGATAAAGATGCTGAGTTGAAACATTTAAAAGTTGAAAATGAAAAGGAAATAGAGAAACATAAATCTAATCTAAAAGATGGTTTGTTGAAGCTTAAAGAAGACATCGAAAAGCAAAATGAGCTTGATAAGAAAAGTTTACAGGACAATCTAGAGAAGGAAAAAAAATTGGTAAGTATAAACAGCATGTTAAATTAGCTAAATTTTTTGAAACATATACCACATTTTGTGTATTATTTATCATGTACAATTGTTTAATTACTTTACTTCTAACTATAAGTAATTTGATTTTGTCTAAACAGTGACGAACCCAGAGTTTAATTGGGGATACTACTTTTTTTTTCCAGCAATGTGGGTGAAGGAGGGGGGGGAGATAGATTGCCCTTCCCCACCCCCTCCTTCCCTTTCTTTTCTAATTAAAGTTGTGCTGCAACAATGGTTTTTAATTATCATTTTAATCATTTGTGTTTATCTTGTTCAGTTTTATTCAAAGATAAAGAGTTGATTTAAAGACATTTCTTTAGTTACACTAGGGAAAACTATTTTTTTAAAAGATTTTAATAAACGCTTTTATTGCTAATTGTATATAATTATAGAAATTTTTATTAAGTATTTTAAACATTTAGTAACTATATTTCAGTAAATTTAATTTTAGTAGTTATTAATGTTTTAAATAATTAGTAATTAAATGTTTAAATACTTTAAACAATTTTTAATCAATACTTAAAGTTAATACAATAGTATTACGCTTGTATTTGAATAGTTATTCTCTATATATAATGATAGTCTATATATCTATATAAACAGTTAATTCCAGTAAGTTGAACGCCTTAAACTTTTTTTGTAACAACATTTTTCTATTTTTGATAAAAAAAAAATTAAAATATTTTTGAGTGCTTTTTTTGGGTGCCCATAGAGCTCCAGCAGTACCAAAACAGGTCTGGGTTCGTCCCTGCTTTACATTATAATATAACTTATTATAGTCTTTATTATAATTTATGTTGACATTTATTATAGTTTATGTTGTTCTTTTGAATTATTTATTTTTAATTTCTCAAGTTCTCAAAATAGATAGGACTTCAATGTTTAATGTAGTTCTTAAAATAGATAGGACTTCAGTTTTTAAAATAGATAAATTTTAATGTAGTTCCTGTGATTATTTTTAGTATTATACGTTTGTATAGAGAGAATATAGAAATCGTAGAGTTTATATAAGGATAATATTTTTTATCTCTATAGTAATGTAGTATCATAAACACATTACTTAGGGTGTGACTGTTTTAGTTAGTGACCGGGGTGAAGTTAGACAGGGGCTGGGATCAGCTTTGTAAAAAAGGGGCCAGGTTTGTGACCAGAGCTGATCATCATCATCATGATGTGATCATCATCATCATCATCATCATCAATCATACCTTAGCCCCTTTTATGCTGTTTCTCTAACATAAACAATCTCCAGAATCTTCAATATTAACTAGAGCTCATCATACCATATGTAATGTATCTTCAACATTTTCTCCTGAAGCTGCTACCTATCTACATTCTAATAACCAAACCACTTGAATCTTTTTTTGACAAAAACTATTTGATAAATTGTTTTTTTTTTTTTTAATTTCTGTTTAAGATTATAACTTATTTTATATAAACTATTTTTATAATAGTTTATAATTATTTCATGGACATGCATGCTTCATGGACATGCATGCAAATTAAAAAATTGAATTATTAATGAGGGAAACTGCACTCTAATTCAAAGGTCAAACATCCCAAACTCAAAGTGTCAAAACTTCAACAGTGTCATTAACTAAAGTAAGTTTAACATCCCAAACTCAAAGTGTCAAAACTTCAACAGTGTCTTTAACTAAAGTAAGTTTAACATCCCAAACTCAAAGTGTCAAAACTTCAACAGTGTCATTAACTAAAGTAAGTTTAACATCCCAAACTCAAAGTGTCAAAACTTCAACAGTGTCTTTAACTAAAGTAAGTTTAACATCCCAAACTCAAAGTGTCAAAACTTCAACAGTGTCATTAATTAAAGTAAGTTTAACATCCCAAATTCAAAGTGTCAATACTTCAACAGTGTCTTTAACTAAAGTAAGTTTAACATCCCAAACTCTAATTCAAAGGTCTGACCTTATTACTTCTCTCCAGAATAAGCCACAGTTATTTGCAAAAAACCTTTTCTCTAACTTGACTCTTGAATCTAATGGGCATCACTCTTCCTGCCATTTTAATTATACAGATTAACCCATTGTTAGACATGATGTTAGAGTTGATTCTCAATTAAACTCTTTAACAGCTTGTAGTTCAGACAACATTTCCTTCATAGTCTTACAAAAGTGTTCTCCGAAACTCTCTTCAATTCTTGTTAAACTATAAATAAGTAAATAAGTAGTAACAATCTTTAAAAATTCTAGAAAACAAACTAACCCTCTGACTATCAAAACTGACAATTAGTCAATTAGTTCCATTAGTCTTCTCTCTATTATTAGTTTCTTTATGTAAAGGTTTTGAGATTATTAAAGTGATCCCTAAGTGCCAACACAAGATGTGTTCATATCATAAATGATTCTTAAAAAATAACTTTTATGTTAATTAAACTTTCCAGAACAAGTTGTTTATCGAGATATTAGCAAAAAACTTTGTAGTTTTTGACACTTTTTTTTTTTCTCATTCATCATTCTTTTTCATCTCAAAAGTAAGTTCTGGCTATTTAATTTTTTTTTAAATACTGGTCTGATTAATGCACTTTTGTAGTTAATAAATGATGTCAAAACAAAAAAGTTCTTTTAAATAACTTAAACTCGAGTTATAAACTTTTTGTTTCCCTTTTGCAATTAATCTTTAATGTAGAAGAATGTCTTTGGGCAATTCATTGTGTTCAGACATTAGAGAAGATTTTACAAGAATTAAAGTATTGCTAATGGTTTTGAATAATTTTTTCAAATAGATATGAATTTGATCTAACATATTATATCACAAAACGCTGTCAGAACTTTTGTAGATTACTTTACATTCAACTTACGGTGCCTAATAGTAATGTTGCATTACGAACAATAAATTAAGCAAAACAAAAATATAATGATAGTCTATAAGTAATGTTACGTTAAGAACGTAACATAACACTAGCATGTACTCTTTTAAAATTCTCTGAAACTATTAATGTCAAATGTTATAAATGGAGTTATTTTTGAGGCATAGGCCTTAAAATAATAAAATAATATAGGTTTTTTGGTATCCAAACATATTGCGCATAAATTTGCTTAGTTAAATCAAAAGATATACATGTTGTAGTCGGACAAAACCATTCGTTGCATTTAGATGTTCTGTATTTATAACAAAACTGAGGAAATATATTTGTCCAAATAATTGCTTTTACAATGTTCAACAAAAAATATACGAAGACACTCATCTTAAGCTAATTAAATAGTTAACAAGGTGTTCTTTTAAGTAGTGGTGGATAAATCTAACAATTTTGGGAGGTGGCAGTACGCAAACAATTTCCTCATTAGAGAACACTGCAATGTCCTTAGTTAGAGGACATTGCAGTGTTCTCCACTTAAGTAAACTCCACAGAAAAAATGAAAATGCTATTTAAAATTTTAATTAAATACGTTTTATCAATTTTTACCTTCAGTAGGATTATCAACAATTTCAAATTATTTTGCTAAACTTAGACATGCATATAGTGTATTGGCCCTTGAACAAGCAATTGAGGCAATACTTTCACAAGTTACATGAATAGAGTGTTTTTGGTGAAGATTGGACACACGTTGCAAAGGTTTACAGATTTTCTACTCACTCTGCAACAATCTTTTCACTGGGATATGGAATAATCTAAAAAAAGAATAAAACAAGATAAATTAAACAAGGCTTTAACACTGACAATATAATGATCTTGTAAAAAAGAATGTAATATGTCACCTACCTGAATTTTCTCTGGCTTTACGACATATTAAGTCATTAAGACAACGTATTGTTGCCCTTTCAGACATAACAATGTTCTTGCAATCTACTTGACCCCACCAATACCATTGACTGCGCTTTTACTGTGACCAGTTGCAAAATAATGCTACCAAGATTTCGTTCCGTTTGAATGATGGAAAGGTCTGACAGTATAAATCGATTTTTGTATTGGGATAAAGAACCATCGATAAAAATAGTTAGGCACTTTCCACTCAGATCCAGAACATTGAGTACAGCACTTTATTATGGTTATGGTTGTCATTCAGCAAAACTTTGGGTTCAGTCTTTCATCCAAACAAACACTGTATAAATTTTCAGCATTTTGTTGATCCAGCTAGCATTTTGAATAGCATATTCTTTAATAGCAGGTTCTCACTAGAGTCTATCTTTACAACAATTAATTATAAATACAAAAATTAACGTTGATAATTTAATGTTTAGTTATTTACCTGGATGATAAAATCTCCATCTCTAACATTTCCAATCAGAAATTGAAAATGAGCACTTTAAATTTGTATCACAAAGCAGTGTCTTAAAAAAGCAGGCAACTAGTGAAAAATTGTTGCATGAATTAAGTACATTGTATTAACTTCCTTAAACCCATAAAATTTACAAATATGTACAGTTATAATTTTCAGATTTGTAGATAAAATTTACAAAATTATACAATTACTAGTTTTGGTTATATACAATTTTAAAAATGTGTTTTTATAAACAATTTTTATGAAAAGTTCAAATTATACAGAAATTATTTCAGAAAAGAGGTGGTAGTGATTATTAAATAGGTGATATCTGTAGTTAAAGAGGTGATAGCAGTAAACTGTTTATTTGAGCAAAAATGTAATTTAACTGACCTTGTTTCTTACAATTAAAAATCTATAAATTTTTAAAATAAAATTTTGTTTTTGAGCTGTTTTAAACAACCTAAAAACAAATTTTTTTATTTAGCTTATTGTTATAGATGTTTGGTAAATATAAAAGTTATAAATTAATTATTAAAAAAGCAATTGCAAATAATTGCTAAATAAACAAAAATATTATTCCAAAATAAATGTATAATTAAGATTAACAAATGTTTATAAACAAATATGTTTAAATCTAAAAAAACACAGATATATGAATGCGTATATTTTAAAATTTTTTTAATGAATTTCCAGAAGTTAATAAAGATAATAACAATGCTAAGAAAAAGAAAACATTAAATGATGTAAAAATCAAATAACAAAAGTAGCATCCTTTACATGAAACAATAGTTTTACACACATATAAACATGCATGCATGCATACATAGATGCATACATACATACATACATACATACATACATACATACATACATACATACATACTTACATACTTACATACATACATACATACATACATACATACATACATACATACATACATACATGCGTACATCCGTACATACACAGGCCTTGTTTTAAATACCAGAAAACAAGTTTAATGTTATCTAACAGATTTTTTATTATTACTATTAGGGAATGTTTATTTATTTTTTTTACATTAAATAATAAAATTTAATAATGCATTTTTTTAAATGTTTGATATAAACAAATTTTTTTTTTCTCTCAGCATTTGTATAAATGTATTAAAATATGTTAAGTTTTTGAATTTTTAAATTATTATTTCTTAAATTCCTAATTGTGGCTTTGCAACTACAAATGAGTTTTTATTTAAAAAAAAAAAAAAAAAAGAAAGTAATAAATTAAAAAGTTGACAATTTTGTTGTGAAAGCAAAGATTGTTTTTCCAAACATCATTTATTAAAATTATATCGCTGTATATATATTGTTTGTTGAAAAATAATTATATCGCTGTATATATATTGTTTGTTGAAAAATAATTATATCGCTGTATATATATTGTTTGTTGAAAAATAATTATATCGCTGTATATATATTGTTTGTTGAAAAATAATTATATCGCTGTATATATATTGTTTGTTGAAAAATAATTATATCGCTGTATATATATTGTTTGTTGAAAAATAATTATATCGCTGTATATATATTGTTTGTTGAAAAATAATTGATGTGATTTAAATTGTGTTATAAATATAAAAGTTTTACATTTTGTGCAAATTTTTGATGCAGTCGTTTATTTAAAATTTAATTTTGAGCAAAAACAAAAATGCTTTAGAAGAAAAACCAAAAAAAACAATTGAGATAAAAATGAGCTAATTTTTTTTTAAGAACAAATAAAATTTAAAAATTGAACAATATTTAGGAATATTTTAAAATAAATTTGACAGTTAATTTAAACCCAAGCATTAACTATAATTCTAATAAACTTGAATATATTTTTCAAATTAAAATTAAATTATATATTTTTTAAATCTAAATTAAATTTTTTTTTTTTTTTATCAGAAAACTATATATTTTTATTAAATTAGTTTTTAATTAAATCATATATTTTTTTATCAGAGTTAAATTATATTATTATGATCTTTGCTTCAAGCCTAAAGTCTTGACCTATCAAGACCTATCAAGTTTTAAATCACATCATTGTATAACAATAGTTTTTTGTTAATTAAAAATATTAAGAAACTAAAATCTGTTTTTTAAACTGATTCATACAAATTATGTCAGACCAAATATTCATCTAATACAACTTATTGCCTTTACAGAGAATTTAATATAAATAGTACCTTAACTTTTTTATGTTAAATAAAAATGCGCTTTATACGGAAAAAATATTTTAGTTCAATATGGGATTTGCTGTCAAAAACCCAGTCACAGATGGGACACGGTTGAATCCCGCTATAAAATCATGATGGGGCCCATGTGGGATATCTATATGTTCTGAGCATTTTTCCTAGCTGGGAAAGCTTACTTTAAAGCTTGCAAGATCTCTTTTAAATAAGCTCAGCTAAATGGGCTAGCCCAGTTCATATAAACAGCACCTTAGTCATGTAAACAGGATATTAGCGCAAAAGACAAAAAATAAATGCTGAAACTTTTGAAACTTTAACGTCAAATCAACTTATAAAGTTATTTTGTAAATAGACCTCTTTACAGATATGTTAAGATATATTTTTTACAGTTGTAAAAAATATATCTTAAGAATATATTTTTTACAACTTTAGAATATTGTTTATATATATTTTTAATTAATTTGATTTTAATTAATTTAGTGAATAATATGTGAGTGCTAAATAAAAGTTTCAAAAATATTGAATGTGTTTTAAATGTGTTCAAAGTGTTCATTTTATCTCTGTTAAGAGGTTAGATTTGCACTACCTTGACCTACAATAAAATAAAAAAATAAAAATAAATTTTTAATTTGTAAATCACTTACTGCTTACGTAAAATTACATAAGGCGTACATAAATCACTCTACGCATAACGCTTTAAAATAAGTATTAAACTTGATTCATGGTGCTTTCTACAATATACAAATCGTCCAGGCCCATGAATAAAGATGACTGACCAGACTATGACATATGTTGGGTGCTTTACTGTCTCTGCAACACAGTCAGGATGAACTTCTTCACCGAATCTCCTGCATACATAGGCTACTTTCTCATCTATGATGCAAAAGGATGATTCATCATTGAAACATACCTGACTCCAATCATTTTCAGTGAAGTTCTTGTGTTGCTTATTCCCATGCCAAACGTTTCTTGATTATTGCCAGAGTCATCTTTGGTTTTCTGCGCAGCCGTCAAGCTTGAAAACCATTTGCAACTAATTGTCTTCTGACTGTTCTGGTACTCACATGTACTACTTTTTTGTAATTGTGTACTAATTTTTGCAACATCTTGCTTGTTGCTTTGTTGGTTTACGGGTTTTTATACAGCATTTCATGAGGTACCTGTTGTCTCAGACAGTCATTAATTTCTTTCTACCACAATTGCCAACTCCATTGCCTTGTAATTTTTCACCAGTCTGCATCTTCTTTATTCTGGATACCTATTTCTGACTTATTTCACTGTTTTTAGCAATCCTTTTTCCGTGAGTAATATCTCTCGTAGATAAACCTCAACATACTTAAGTGAAAATAAAAATAAATTGCACTTATTATCACTAAGGCACTTATATCACTATGGTCTATCACTTATATTACTATGGTCTATCACTTATATCACTATAGTCTATTCATGAAGTAACTATATATAAATTAATTTAATAAATAACTTGTGCCAAGGTACATATGAAAATATTCTTGGTTTTGCAGCCTAGTCTAATAATTTAGCACCCACTGTATATTAATTGTGCAAAGCATAAGTAAAAAATCTCTCTCTAAATAAACATAAAATAACAATGATTAATAAAAAAGTGTGACAGAAAATATTGAAAGAAAAATATTGGTGTTGAAAGGTTCCATTAGATTCAAGTTGTAACTTAATTTTAAACTCCATTTTAAGGGCTACAATACTTTGACCATTGATATTTCAGAGAGCCTGATAAAAAGCTGTCACTGCATTACTGCGTCTGGGATGCGTTAGACTCATACTAGTCTGTAGTTGACAGTATATTTTATAAATCAGAATATAGTTGACATCATATTTTATAAATCAAAATATAGTTGACAGTATAGTTTATAATATAAAAATCAATAATCAACATTTATCATAATTTGTAAATTGGTCTTCATTTATCATAGAATATCTGAACTTTGTTTTTTATAAAGGAGATGGAAATTTATTAATAATATTTAAAATTATTATATTCTAATAGAAAGCAATAAAATACTTAACTAAATTACCAATGTAATAAATGCTGTTTGAAAAAACTTTAGTTTAAATGTTATAAAAAAACAGGTTTTATGATTTTTTTTATATTAAGTTGGTGTGTAACCAAATTAGTTTACTGACCAAATGTTTCACCTACTGACACAACTGTTTTTTGTTTTTGTTTTTTATGTTTGTAGTATTGTATTTAATGATTATATTTATTATTATTATTATTATTATTATTATAATTATTATTAATTTAAATGACTCTCTTATAGTCGTTCCTAATGTAATTATACTATTTAAAAATTTTATTATCCAGATGTTAGAGAACGTCAAGAAGCAGTTTGAAAAAGAAACTGAAGAACTTCGTTCGAATCTTTTCAATGAGCATAATTTACGAATAAATTCTCTTAAAGCAGATATTGAAGGAAAGTATGAGGAAGATGAAAATATATTTAAAGACTCTTTAAATCAAAGCAAGTTTGCACAAATTTCAAGCAATATGTCTTATATCAATGAAACAGAAGAGAATCATAAATACGCAATAAAAGAAATGAATGAGAAACACTCTGAAGAAATCAGAAAGTTGTCTCAAAAATTTATACACCAGTTAGAGGAAATAAAGAAGGAATTTGAAGAAAAGGTTACTGTTTAAGTATTTTGGAAAATATTTTAAACTGGTTTTTGTGAAATAAGGTTTTATGAGGTCTTTTTTAGCTATCAGTTTATTTATTTTGTTTTAAGTTATGAAATTATGATAAAATTTTAGATAATTGCTGAGAGAACGAATGGAGAACAAAAACTTAGCACAGAGCTGAAAGAGTTTCAAAAATATCACCAAAATGAAATAGATCAGCAAAATCAACAGCATGAAGCAAAATTAAATTTGCTACGAAGTACTTTCAACAAACAAGTAAAAAAAGTTTTTGTTCTTAAAAGTTCTTAATATTATAAAAATTTTAATTTTGAAGTGTGTGCATATATATATATATATATATATATATATATATATATATATATATATATATATATATATATATATATATATATATATATATATATATATATATAAATATATATATATACATACATACATACATACATACATACATACATACATACATACATACATACATACAGGGTGTTACCCAGGAAAAAATTTCATACAGCGTTTTTGCGAAATTGGGAATTTAGGTGCGGTAAAAAAAAAAAAAAAAGATCCTTACATTCTGCAATTAAATTTTAATCAAAATAAACTTTCTATTTTTGCTGGAAGTTACATTTACAGCAGGATTATTTTTCTACTTTATATATGTTTAATTTTAATTTATCAACTTGTTTCATTATGAGCAATCTTCTAAAGTTTTCATTTAAATTGCTTTTTTTCTTTGTTTTTGATATACTGCAACCGTTTTTCAAAACGCCTTAATTACGTATTTGGATAAAAGCGCAATTAAAAATTTTTTTTTTTTTTTTACTATGATCTTAAAAACCTTTGGGAATTTTAAACCAATTAAGAATACCGCGGTGTATCATACGCGGTGCCATCAGGCTGGATAACACCCTGTGGCTGGATAACACCCTATAATTATATATATATATATATATATATATATATATATATATATATATATATATATATATATATATATATATATATATATATATATATATATATGTATATGTATATAGTTTTGTTATATTTATATATTATAATAATAAATATCAGTAAAATAATAGTGAAAATTGTAATATATATATAATATTTCATTTTAAATTTATAAAAATACTCATAAAGAATTTAAGTTTAAATTTGCATTAGAGTGAAGAATTGGAACAAAAAACAAAAAATTTAGAGAAAATATCTTCTGATATACAAGAAAAAAAGGAAGAACTAATTGGTCTTGAAAATGATCTTCGAACTAAAAAAGAAAGCATAACTAATGAGTTAAATGAACTTAATAAAAAAACTTCCGAAGTCAGCAAAGCAAACAGAAACAAAGAGCATGATATAAATTTACTTTCTATCAAAAAGCAACAATTTCAAAATGAAATTTCCAATTTAATGGAAAATGAAGTTTCTTTAAGAGAAACTATAGGCATGCTACAAACAAGTAAATCTGTATTGGAAGGAAATCTTAATGAACTTATGCAGAAAAAGAATGATGTCTTGGATAAAATTAAGGAAGAAAATGAAATTTTTTTGGCGCAGCAACATCAGCATGAAGAACTTGTTTTAAACTTGAAGAGTCAAGTTAAAAATCTTCAAGATTTCCTTCAAACACTAGAGAATGAAAAATTACAATTTAAAGACAACAGAAAAGTCCAATGCGTAGATGTATCAACAAATACTGACTTAAATATCTATGTTTCCATTAAACCAGAAAGCGATTTATCTCAAAGTAATGTTCAAGAAATGTTAAATGAGGATAGAAAGTCCCCTTTGTCTTTAAAAGACTTACAAAAAGAAGCTGTTAATGAGGATGCAGAAATTAAAAAGGTTTTTTTCTTTTTTTATAATTTTATACTTTTCCTAGTAGATAATTATATGTTTTTTTCCAAGGATTAAAAAGGTAGTTATCAGGACCCTGACCTCAGCTCTGGCTAAATATTGATTTTTTTTATAAACCTGACACTGCCCAGCCTTAGTCCAGGTCATATATCGATCATGGTTATATACTATAAACGATTAATTTTAACTTTTTATGAAATGGTTTCTGAAAAAAATGTTAAGATTTCAAAAATTTAAACTGCAAATGCTGATTTATATATTTTTCTTTCAGAATGATGTTAGCAGTGGCGGTATGAACAATTTTAGTGAGCTTTTTTACTTTAAACAAATAGTAACTTATATACTTATAAAATATAAAATATAACTTTTATATATATATATGTGTGTCTGTGTGTGTGTGTGTGTGTATATATGTATATATATATATATATATATATATATATATATATATATATATATATATATATATATATATATATATATATATATACTCATATAGTGTCGCTTTAAGAGCATTTTAATGTAAAAAAAGTCTCTTACGACTACAATTTTAATTACCTCGTCTCTTAAGCTGTTTTTGATTGTCATCGAAAAGTCAAAGCAATTAATTTATGCGGAAGTACATTAAATTTAATTGTTTTTTAAAAAATTTTTAAAAAACCGCAATTATAACGACTAGAAAGTTTTTTTTAATTAGTGGTGTTTTTGTTATTGATTTAATAAAAAACATTTTTTAAACATGCGTAAATGTTGCTACATCGACTATCATATAGCCTGACTTGCAACGGAGTGCTGCTACATCGACTGACAAATAGCCTGACTCGCAACGGAGTGCTGCTACATCGACTGACAAATAGCCTGACTCGCAGCAGAGTGCTGCTACATCGACTGACAAATAGCCTGACTCGCTAGGGAATGCTGCTACATCGACTGACAAATAGCCTGACTCGCAAGGGAGTGCTGCTACAACGACTGACAAATAGCCTGACTCGCAAGAGAGTGCTGCTACATCGACTGAGGGTTTGGTTTGGCCAGGCAGTCTATCAATTAAAAAAAAAAATTTAATTTTTAAAACTTTTTCTGGTCTGGTTTATTAACGCGCTCTTTAAAACTACAGTTTATGGGAAATATTTTTTGATGCTACGCAAGAGACATGCAAGACTATATATATATATATATATATATATATATATATATATATATATATATATATATATATATATATATATATATATATATATATATATATATATATATATATATATATATATATATATATATATATATATATATATATATATATATGTATATATATGTGTGTATATATATATATATATATATATATATATATATATATATATATATATATATATATATATATATATATATATATATATATATATGATAATCTTTTATATTCATGTATAATTTTATATAGAAAATTTAAAAAAAATTCAAAGTCGACTTTCAAGGAGGGTGTGGCTTGAATCAGATAGTATTTTTTTTTATTTTTTTATTTATTTTTATATATTTTATGTTTTTTATGTTATAATAATTATGTTATGTTTTATTTTATTATTATTAATTATTAAAAAATTCTTAACATAACTTTAAAATGTAAATAAGTTTCTTTGTTTTAGGCGAGTCACTTCAATCAACAGAAGCAGATGACTATGAAAAATATGCTAGAAAACCTAAATATGGGTATGTACTTTAATTTTTGCATGTTATTAGTGGCTTTTTCATTTAAATGGTATCTGATTTGATATAGTTGTGAGCTTCCATATTTATCATTTGTTTTTTTTTAAATGCTGAAACTTTTTATGATATATAACATAAAATATCTTGCGCTCTCGCTTGCTAGCAGCATTCAACATTTTGAATAAAAAAAAAAATATTTTTACAAAAAATTAATATTGAAAAATATTTAATTAACCAAATTTAATAGAACTAACCTAGTTCTAAAATCAATTAATCTGAGTTTTGAAAATTAGAAATTGAAAATTAATCTGAATTTATATTAGAAATTATAAAAAACAATTTTTGTTTCTCTTCATGTTCTTTTCAACTTTAATAAAAATTAAAAAAATGATTACATTAACTTAATAAAAAATTTATAAAGTTTTAGTTATCAATTTCTATTTCTTTAATGTTTAAAAAAGTTCATTGTAAATGTTATTGAATGTACCCAATATTTTTAATATATGTTTATTTATATCCTTATATGTTTATTGTTTAAACATTAAGTTTACTGTAAATATCTCTTTTATTTAAAAGGCGCTTTAAAGCACTTTGAAATTTATTAAACTTTAGTAAAAATTAAATGAACAAAATTGCTAACATTTAAATCGAAATTAAAATTAAATAAAAGTAATTATGTTTGTTAAACGCTTATGTATTCTAATAGTTCTTGTTTTTTGATATAAATGTATTCCAATAGTTAATGTTTATATAATATATATTATATAGACAATAATTATTTGAATACAAGAAATTTTTAAAATAATAATTATTATTTTATTATTTAAGCACTTTTATTATTTTAATTTTGCAACTATTAGTTAATAAAATTGTTTATTTAAAAAACTCGCCAAGTGCACTTTTTTAAATTTTCTGAAAAAATAAAGCTAATTTTAAAATCAGTGAAGGTTATGGCTTGTGAAAAAATCTAAAGTGTTTCTTATTGTATTGCAAAAACAAAAAAAAACAAAAAAAATAGTTTTTAACTATAATATTGATTTTGAAAAACAACAACATCTTTAATGAAGCCAAAGTCTGAATCACATTGTAAAAGTAAGTGACCTCTGACTGCAAAGTAGTGTTTAACAGCTTTAAATATTCCCCTATCACAAATATAAGATAGGCAATATTCTATTGACAATGACAAGCTTGGTTCTGAATTTAGAGATGAACATACAAGTGGTTAATTTGAATTTACAAAAAATAAAAATAAACAACTAAAAAGCTTAATATCAACACTAAAGTAATTTTCAATAAGTATTAAAATTGTGAAGCAATTATATTTTTATATTTTTATACCAACTACAATTGTTAGAGTAACCTGAAATAAAAAATGTGCAGACAGCAGGCTTTTTTTCCTGGGCAGCAGGCTATTTCAGTGTGGCGTAAGAGATGTTGTCTAAACACGCATTCATAGTTATAAATGAATATACATATGTGTATGAATATATATATATATATATATATATATTATATATATATATATATATATATATATATATATATATATATATACACACACATACATACATACATACATATATATTCATTTATAACTATATACATATATATATATAAATATATATATATAAATATATATAGTTTTTATTAAGTTCAATATATTTTATAAACCTCCATAGATAAAAAAAGTCTTATAAAAAACATATATTTATGTTTAAAAAGAATACATTTTTGTAAACTCTTGTATGAAATAGAAAATTGCCGAAATAATTAGACACACTATTTTGGTGTTTTTTGAACTGAGGCTTAAAAAAAAAAACTCATATCAAACTTAAATTATGATTATTTATAATTTAACTTTATAATTTAACTTCATGTTTCTTTTTTAAACTCTTCAATAAAACTTTCAAGAACTTTGTCTTGGAATCCTTTTTCAGGATTTTCAGTTGCTATCATCCAGAGGCTTTTGAGTGTGGTTTGAGACAAATGGTTGTGTAGGGCATTTTTCACAAATTTTAATTTTGAAAGCAGTCTACACAAGAAAAGCTATTCGGAAAAATCATTAGTAGATTCAATATAAACATATAATTAAGATGTAAATCCTAAGTATGGGCATTTGATTTTTCTGTCCGGTAAATCCATCCGTTTCCATCCCTTACCGTTAATATCCGTTATGTTAAAAAATTTTAACGGATGGTCATAACAGAAAATTTTTGTTAAAATTTTTTAACGGACCGATATTTTTCCAGAAATTTCAAAAGGTTTTATAAAATTTATTTTTTATAAAATTATTAGCAAAAATTTTATATAAGCGAAAATTTTATGATTTTACTTTTTTTAAAAGATTATTTTATAAATAGATAATATAAATTTATAAAATTATTATTATTATTAAAAATTATAATATAAATTTATAAAAATATTATTTTACAGCTTTAATGAAAAATTTAAAACATTTTTTTAACTTATAACTTGAGTTTAAAATGTATAATTTAAATTTAAATAAGTTTTTTTTATTTAAAAAAAAAGAAGTGTTTTTAGCTGATAAATTTCAGTAAGTTGACTTTTTTAATTAACAGCCGTTAATGGAGTTTAAAATCCGTTAAAATATGTTAAAGGCCCTTAACGGAAAAATACTGTTAATAAATTTTAACAAAATGGATTTTAACAGAAATTTTGTTAACTTTTTTTAACGGAAATTAATGGTTTTTAATGCTCATGCTTAGTAAATCCTGTTTTATATCCTAACTGTATTTGTCCATAAGGTCTGAGCACAGTATGACTGTTGTTTTTTCTTCAATTCTTATTGCTGTTTTCAGTAGAAGCATTGGGTATTTTGAGATCAAAACTTATTTCCCATTCCTTTTGCAATAAAAATATTAAAAACTTAAAACTATCAAATTTGACTTAAGTTTTCTCCGGTCTTTCACAAATTTCCCATAGTGATTTAAAAATGTTGCCATAATTGGTCAGATCTTTTTATTTTAGATCAAATATTTTTGTAAAAAGATTGATCAAAAACCGATAAACATAAACAATTCAGTGAGAAATTCAAACGTAAATCAAGTTTGGTTTCTTGGTTAACAAATCATTTTTTGTAACATCAAGTTTTGCCTCTGAAGAAAGAAAATATGATTTAGTAACCCTTATTTTTTACCTTTAAAACCATTATGTAAGAAAATTTTTATCAAAGAAAATGTTTTTAAAAACTGCTGTTGTAAAAAAGAGCTTGTTTTTAAACTAACTTTTGAATGGGGCCTTTTTTAAGAATTTGAAGATTGCATGTTTTAATACTTTTTTAAAGTAAAGTAAGTTGTAATTACAAAACTTTGTTTATGAAAAAATATTGATCTCAAAGAAGAATGTCGAAAAAAATTTTGTTCATTCAAATGACAATGTTTTTTTGTTCATTCAAATATTTAAATTTACTTTTAGGCTTTAAATTAAAACGTTGGTGTTTTAAAATTAAAAGGTTTAAGCTATAGATTCAAACCTTTTTTTTTTCTAAAAGTTTTAGTTGTTTTAATAAAAAAAACCTTTGTGTAAATAAATGTATATAATTTATAATTCATAGGTACGTTTAACTTTTTAAAAAGTTAGTCAGGAAATGGTACCGGGATTAGAAAATGTTTTTGAATAAAAATGAAAACCAAATAATCGCTTAAAAAAAAACAAAAAATATCATATCTCCATAATATCAACATAATCAGCTCAACTTTTGATGAAATAACATTTGTGGGTTTTACACCAAACAAATTTGTTATTTTTATGGATTGAACTTTCTTTCTTTCTAACTTTTTTACATAATACTTGCTGTTGTTAGAAGGCATTGTAAAAAATTAATTGCAAACATGGAAATTTAAGTTTATAAATAAGTTGCCGGAGAAATCCCAATTTACAAGTAGTTTTTCCCCAGAGAGATCTTTGCAGTTATGCAACTGCAAAATTATGCTGAAAGTAGTGATTTTATATAAAGTTTTATTCAAAAAATAAGGGGTCATCCATAAAGTACGTACTCTTATAGGGTCTTCAAATAGCGTACAAAAGTGTATGGGAGAAGGGGGGGTTTAATTTAAAAGTTTAAAATTTTTATTTATTGAAAAAAAAAGGTGTGTGTATGGGGGGGTGGGGTGGCGGTGGATTTCAAAAGCATATGTATTTTTTAAAGGAAGGGGTGCAAATTTAGAAGTCTTTTTTTGCAAATTTAAGTATTTTTACTCAGGGCTACAAGTCCGGCTTACTCAGTGGCATGTGTGTCCATAAAGGAATGCTATACTCTTGACTTCCCTACACCATACACCCTTTTATTTTGGCAAACTAGGACCTTGAGTCAGAAAATTAACTTTTTTATTGTTAGCTGGCAAATTATGGACAACAATGATTCAGTATGGTTTTATTACTTTTCTGTAGAAAAACTACAGAGTGCAAAATTTTTTATACTTCATCATGGTAAGAGTCAAGCTATGCTTAACTTATTGTGAACTTACCAACATGTTCAACTATAAAAAGTGGCTTTTTTCAAATACAGTCAGAAAGCTTTTACTTAGAAAAAACATTGGTGTTAATGCAACTGCTAGAAAACCCATTTTGATGGCCAGATTTTGGCGAACAAGATTAGTGTAATGTTTATATATATATATATATATATATATATATATATATATATATATATATATATATATGTATATATATATATATATATATATATATATATATATATATATATATATATATATATATATATATATATATATATATATATATATATATATATATATATATATAAACAATTACATTCATTTGTAATTAACCAGAAGCACACAAAAAGGTGCTAGCCCAATGTTTATTATTAGGGTGGTGTTCAAGTTTTTGTAAATTGTTCATTTTGTAGATTTTGTGAATGCTAAAGATTAACATTACATATCTGTTTAAAGTATTTTAAATAATTTTAATTAAAAATTTCATTCAATGCTCTGACTTTCAGATTAAACCTTTAGATTAAAAGAAGTCAACAATTCAAGTTAAACAATATTTATTAAATACCAGATAACTGTAAAAATAAATAAATGTGGTAAATTTATTATGCAACATGGTTACTTTTTATGCACCATGGTTCTTGCAAAGCTGTAAGCAAAAAAATAGTTGCATAAAAAAATAGTTGCGTAACATGAAAAGTAATAAAGTATTAAATTAAATTATTTGGTAACTAGATTCAAGTTATCTTTTTTACTTATAAAAGATAAGGTTTCCAGATGATTAAGTAATTATGGGTTACCAATGAAGAGAGAAAAAAAATTGTAAAATTAATTTTATCTCAACCATTGAAAATTAAACTGTTAAAAGTTTTTAACATATCAGTTTTTTGACATGTTACAAACTTTATATTAAAATATATCATCAATTATTATCAACAAGTGATATTATCAACTTTTATTTGGTTAAAATAAAAATTGAAAATATCACTTATTAAAAAAATAAAAAAAGTTAATAATATCACTTATTAAAACAATAATTATTGTTTGAAAGAAAATTTAAAAGTTGGATTCAGTTGACTCCAGAAATGAAACCAGATTTAATTTTATTCCAAAATCTTGATTTTATAATTGATTTCAAATAATTTAGCAGTATTGAAGATTCAGAAGAAGTTCAAAGAGCTCAACTTTTTTTATTGAAAAATAGAGAGTCTTTACGCCAGGTATTATATATATAATTTGTTCTTTTATAAATAATATCAATAATTATTTAAAGTAAAAAAGTTTAAAACAAAATAATAATGATTGAGACTATATTAAAATATATATTGTGTGAGATAATTATTGGTTTAAATTGATTAAAACCTAATTAATTATATTTTATTGTTGAAATATTTAAGAATTAAAAATGTTAATATATTATTTTTTTTATTCATAAACACTTCATTTCTTCATATTTGTGTTAATGTTTAATATTTGTGTAATATTTAGGGAATATATATTAACAGTATTCCTTCAGTATTTTTTTTCAGTATATTTTTAAAACAAAAAAATAAAATCAATTTCACTTTGGCAGCCTATATATGTTAAGCACATGTTTGTATCTCAAATCTAAGGAATGGTCGCATACAAACAACTTTATCGTTTTATTGATATATTTTTTTATGTTCTGAGTAACCTTTGGATTAAATTTTGGATTCAAAGCTTGTAAACCGGATATGGCTATTACTTTTTTTTTAATTCCATACTATTTCAGACAGGTGCTGTTATTATTTTGCTGCACTGTTTATAATTAAAGTAAATGGATAATAAATAAAGTGAAAGGATGAGTGATTGAGTTTTTTTTTGTTTTGTTTTTTTGTTGTTGTTGTTTTTTTTTTTTTTTGTTTAGTCATTACAGGTGAAAAAAATGTGAATGCAGATCTCAAAATGTCAGGTTTTAAATTAAGCTATATGAAACCCAAAAGTTTTTATTAAGTACTGAAACAGCTAAATAATCTGCATAGCAGATATTATAGCTAAGAACATCCTAAATTATTATAAAATAAAAAAAATAAGTTCTAATTTTTTAAAAAGAGTTTTAAACAAACACTTCTAAAATTAAGTTAACAAAATGTTATCAAACATGTTACTTTTAAAAAAATTAAAAAACTGTTTAAATATAAATATTTAAAATTGACTTTCAAAATGCTTAGCATTATTATGTTCTAGTATTTTGTTTTAATAATGTATTATACAATTCATATTGTTTTTGTTTATATGGGGGGGGGGGGGGGTATAAAAATTTGTATAGTCCTCATCCTAAAGAGGTTGTTATTATTGATATTTTTAATTTATTGTGGTTACAACCTCTCTCTCTCTCTATATATATATATATATATACATGTATATTTATATATGTGTGTGTATATATAAATATATATATATATACAAATATATATACATACATAGCCCACTTTTAGCAGGACGGGTGCAAAGTCATGCACCGCATGAGTGCAGCAAGTAAATCGGAGCAGAAAATTTTATTAGTGACGAGTTTTAATTTTCTTATAGTAAATTAAAAATTAAAGATTTAACCTTAACCTTTACAAAAAAAAAAACATTTTTAAATTTGAACAACAAAAAATTACTAAATTTTTCTTTATAATATAACTAACGCACGATTTTCTATTGTAATTTGTAGTATCATTTGTGCGTTATTTCCCCTCTCGGTGTAGTTATGGCACTTTTAAAATATTATAGCGTCTGTATGATATTTTGTTGACTACATCATATTTCCGTTAAATGGTATGGTCTGGTCTGTGAATTATGAAAAGATAAAAAATATTAAAATCATAAATTTTGAGATATCATAAAATATAGATGTTTGTAGCAAAAAAACCCAGACCAAAGATTCTTTTTTTTTTTTTTTAAATCATCTTAAAATCACAATTGCTTGTCTATGAGCAGAATTGATCTAAGGACTCCAAAGTAGTGTTCTGTAGATTCATTATTACGGGTAGTGAAATTGTTTTGAAAATTATATATAAAAAACAAAAGTTTCTTTTAAATATTATAAAAACCTTAAGCAAAAAAATTATAACATTTAAAGATCTTGTTTGGACATAATATGCTGACAAAACCATGCTAATTCCAAATTAAAGTATTCAAATATTTTGTAAATCGCCTTAACTACACCAAGCTAGGAGTCATTTCCAAAAGTTGCACAATCTTTTTTTTATAAAGAAGTTCAAAAGTTCATTTTTTTTTTGTTATTAAGTGTTAAGTTGACTCAATTTAAACAATTTTTAAAAATCAGTAAGTTTTGTTTTGCTTTTATCTTCTTTAAGAATTTTCTTGAGAACTTTTTTAATTTTTTTCAATTCATTTTTTTTTTTTTTTTTTTTTTTTTTCAATTATAGAAAAATTTTTATTTTACAAATAAAAAATAATCTGTCTCATGTCGCATAATTTTTCAAATTTGAGAAAAAAGTTGTCTAGGTATGAGTACAGAAAAAGAAAGTCCCAAAAATATCAAAAGTTTGAAAAATTAAAAAGTTCATGAGCATTCAAAAATATGTTGCTTATAAAAAACCTAACAAAGGTCGTGAAAATTTCAATCCTGATGCTTCAACTATCTCTACGACTAATAAAGTCTAATAAAGTTGGAGAACTTTCAGCAATACTCATATTGAAGTAGATAATGAACCAGTTGTTTTAAAACAATCAATTTTTTGTGGAAAGTGGCCAATTGTTTTAATCTAGCAACATTGTGGACTATTTAATTTAACTTGGTCCTTTTCAAGTTACAAAGAAAAAATACCCTGAATATAGAAATGATCAACATTTTTCTAGCATTTATTACAATAGAAACCTTGAATAGAAAATAGAAGCAAATGGAAAATTTTTTCAGATTCTAAAAACTCTGTATTTTGTATTTGCTGTCTACTTTTTAATCATAATTTAAAGTCAAACTTTAGTTTCTGATGGAAAAAACGATACGTACTTAAACGATACTTTTTTTTTTAACGAAATCGGCGTTTTTTTTACAGAAAATTGTTTTTTGTTTTGGCAAATATTGTATATTTTAAGGGAAATATTGTTACGTATCGTTTTTTTCCGAAATGAACATTATTTTTGAAATTTTTATATAATTTCGGTTCATTTGAGTACCAGGTTGACATAATTTTTTAAAATTTTTGTTTTGAAAATATTAGGGACCCATTAAATATTTGAGGGTCTTGAGGGACCCTTTAAATTATTTTTTATTGAAAAAAAATTTAAAATTAGTGTTTTTGTATTAGATAGAACACATTTAGGGGGTGAGAGCAGATTATTTTTGAAAAAGTTGTTTTTTGGGACACCCTAATATATATATATATATATATATATATATATATATATATATATATATATATATATATATATATATATATATATATATATATATATATATATATATATATATATATATATATATAGGCTTTGGTGTATGTATATATATATATATATATATATATATATATATATATATATATGTATATATATATATATATATATATATATATATATATATATATATATATATATATATATATATATATATATATATATATATATATATATATATATATATATATATATATATATATATATATATATATATATATATATATAGGCTTTGGTGTGAGTAAATGAGTGCAGGAATGGAGAAAAGCTTTCACTAGGAGTGGAGAAAAGTTTTCATAAAACTAACATAGTAAGCCATGCAAGCTGCTCCTCTTAACAGCTTTTTATGAGAGCTTTTGGTTTTTCAGGCAATCTATCTGTTTATTTATTATATAAATTTCTTATTAAATATAAATTTAATTTTACTCTTGTTGTAAGCATTTGCTTGTTACGTTATTGTTAACAAAACATATACATAACAAGCGTCATTTATCACACTGTGAAAAATTCTTTAGACAAGTGTTTTCTCTAGGTTTTCACACTAACTTTATCCATTTATTTAATAGAACTTTACTGAAAATAAACAAACAAATTTTGTACTTAAAAAAATCAATCTGAAACTAGAACTTTGTTTTTTGTTTATTCGATGCAATATAAATTTTTTATAAATATAAATCATTTTCTTTTCTCTATTTATAGATATTTTTAACTATTCTAATCAATATCTAAAAATCGAGAAGAAAAGAAAGTGGTTTATATTAATACAAAATTTATACTTTTGCGAGAACTGTAAATCGCTCCCATAAACCACATTAGAGGAGTGTAGGCAAGAGCAAGAACTAAAGCTCTTGCTTCCCTCAGAGGCCTGTGTATATATATATATAAATATGTGTATATATATATATATATATATATATATATATATATATATATATATATATATATATATATATATATATATATATATATATATATATATATATATATATATATAGATATATATATATATATAGATATATATATATATATAGATATATATATATATATAGATATATATATATATATAGATATAGATACTGACACACATTTTGATTAAGATGGAAATGTATACTGGATTTTGTATTAACACAGAAATAAACAAAAAATGTGATTTGAGCCTAAATATTTCTTTTCCATATCTCAGCTGGTTTTCGAAATTTTTATTGCGTATTTTTCTTTTACAGGCTGCGTTATCAAAGGTTCCTGAAGAGCAGAAGTATATACATTCTGATTTGGTAAATGTAATACTTAGTAAAATATATATATATATAAATATATATATAAATAAATATATATATATATATATATATATATATATATATATATATATATATATATATATATATATATATATATATATATATGTATATATATATATATATATAATGAGATTTAGTAAAAATTTTGATTTTAATTAAACCAGTATCAAAGTTAGTTTCAATGTTAATACACATCAAAGCATCAATTGTTCAGCCATAAATGGATTCATGCTCATCTTTAAAAAATTTTTAATCGTTTTCATTAATCTGCAAACTAATTAACCTTACTCCTTTTTAAAATTATGAGCAATCAAAATTTAAAAAAAAAAAATGATCAGCTGATTGATTTTTTACCTTTATAGCATAAACGTTTGAGTCCGAGCGCTGCTAAAGTATTAAAAAGAGTTCGTATGAAACTTGCTCAGGTACAATTTTTTTTTTCAATGTTTTTTTTTTGTTTTTTGTTTGTTTATTGATAGGTTTACCCATCATTTTATTTAACTTTAATTGACTACATTGCTTTAATTTCTAGTTAATAATAGTTTATTCATTATTTTATATAACTTAATTGACTACATTACTTCAATTTCTAGTTATTATTAAAACATTATTTGGCTACTTCAGGAACGCGCAGAAATTGATGAAGCTATATCTTCTATCACAGAGCAATATGAAGAAGTACATAATGATGAGCGGAAGTCTTTAAGAACAAAAATACCTGAAGTATTTAGTATAGTCTAAATTTTTAAATAAATTTAGAATTCAGTTCTATTACTTGTGACTACGTGCTCCCTTTTTATATTTACACAACTTTGTACAAAAATTCTTTAAACTTTTACCTTTTTTTTATAGAATTTTATCGATGTCGATAACTTTATTGAAACTATCTCAGATGCAGATTACGTTAGTAATCGACGCGATAAGCTTAAACAAATGCGCGATCAACGGTATCGTTTGTACGAGAAACTTGATTATCAACCTTGGATAGAAAATATAACTGCAAATAATAGAGATAATTTTGAGGATGATTTTACTTTTGTGCGTCGTAAAATAGACAATAAACGTTTTCCAATAAATTCAGATAATAAATATGAAGATGAAACTAGATATGCTTATCCATCAGAAATCAGACACAACATACCTTATGAAGGCCAAAGAAAATCTTAGTAATAAGTTTTAACATGTCATTATAACATTTAAATTTGATTATTTCATAATAGGAAGGTATTGATGTCGGCTAGGTTTTTATCTTATATATTGTATATAAAAAATATATCTTATTATATTATATATAAAAAAAGTTCTTTATATTTTTCTGTATCTGATTTTTAGTTTAGAGCATAACGACGAGTCGTTTTATGTAAAAACTATTCCGACACCGACTGTTGAGGAAAGGCTAGAAATGAAATGGCGAAAGTATTTTGGTGGTAAGAATTATTTTAGAAAAAAAATGCATTCTAATTTTATTATTATTATTATTATTATTATTATTATTATTAAACTGAAAAAATTAGCATTATTTTCCTTTAAGGTTTTTTAGTTTTTGGTTTGACTATTTTTATGAGACATTTTGAATTTTACTTTTAGATCGACAGGCTCCATCGTATCAGAGTTCTCGTGTATCGTGGGGTCACGCCTCGGCTTTGTAAGTTTTAGTTGTTGCTTTTTTAATTGTCAATTGAATATAATTGTTTAAACCATGTAAATTGGATCGTTATTAATTAAATTTCATTAGGGAAAATCTTCGGAATAGTGGTAACACTGTTTTTAACGGACAAGACTTTGCAACTGAAAGACGTCTACAAAGTCACGCTGAATGGTTGAAAAGTCTTTCCAAATCTAATAATTTTGCATCACTTGCATCATCCATTACACATTAGCAGTTCCATATAAGGAAAAATTAGAAGTTTTTTATTACTTACATCACTAACAATAAAATTAATATTGCATCTTAATGATAATATTCTTAATAATTTTAGTTTTTGCTATTATTTTATTTTTTATTTAACAAAATAGTTTAGGAAAAGAACGAGTTTTTATGTGTTTATTAATATTTGTATTTGTCGTAACTATTTTTTTTTTTGAAAAGAAGTATCTATTAAATATTAAAATTTTTATTGTACCAAAGATATTTTTTATATATAAAGTAAGCTTTATTTTGTTGACATGAAATTAAGTTAGCAATATTTTATATCTTGCATATACTGCGTGTATACTATAATATATGTATATTTTTATTGAGAATGTACTATATTTATTACTTGTGTATAATTATGTATATATTTTATGATTTGTTTTAAAGTATTCTTTTTTGGAAATAAATTGTAATTACTAATTATACATTGTGTTGATGACTATTATTTATACAATAAAATTGTGTACCAGAAATTGATAGTGGTAGATTAGGTTTTTTACTGGCGGGCGATCGGCTAGTTATTAAGATATATATAACTTATTCATATTATTAAGTATGAGCGATCCATACAAACCCAACTGGCTTAGACCTTGTGTCTTAAAAACTGCTTTTGTTTATGTAGACCATGATATTCTACAACTCAAACATTTTATGAGATTTTGATTCATGACTATGATGTCTTTGAATTATTTACTCTTCCATGAGGTATGTTAAAAAGGGATAATAATAAAGAAATATTGTATTGTACATACTGTATGTATCATAATATATTATCTTTATTATAATATCTTTATTATAATAAAGAAATATTATTTTGTACATACTGTATGTATCATACGATATTTCCTTATTAGTATTCCTTTTTAACATACCTAATGGAAGAGTAAATGATTCATGGATTTCATAGGAGTCGTAGGATATGATCTGCATATACAAAAGCAGTTTATTCTACTTTTTTTTGTTTTTCATGAAAGTCAATATCATATATGATATTGACTTTTATCAAGCAAAAAAAATTATTTTATTATAATAAAATAACAATTAAATAATGTGTCTTTTCATAAGATCTGCATTTATGCTCTAAGACTTTTTGTTGCTGAAAAAAAGTTTTAACTATGTTATCATTTTTTTGATGTAGTTGCCCTATCCATTTTTGGATGATAGATGACAAAACTTTTTTTTTTTAAACTCGACTTACGTTTCAATCTTTCAGTCCTAGCCTCTAGTAAGAAGTATGGAGCATGCGCAGTAGAAACACCGTGTTTGATATTGTCTTCTAGAGTTTATTGTTGAACTTCTAAAGATAGATTGTTTATTTCAAGCCATACTGGACTCGTATTCTGCAACAACTACTGTCTCTGACTTTTTTTATATTTAAGTTCAAAGTTGTCTAGAAAGTATTTTTTAACATTTTAAGCTGTGTCACCGTGAAATCTTTGAATTTTTTTGTTTATTATATACATAAAAGATTTACTTGGTATTTATTTTGCTAATTTTTTTTTTTTTTTTTTTGATTGATGGTATCAGTCTTTATACTCAAACTTTACCACTATTTTTAACACTGTAAAAACAATTATAAATTCTGCGGATTCAGATTGTCGGTTGTTGCCCGAGACAGAGTCGGATGTTTCTGTGACAAATAGAAAAGTATATTCTTCTTCAAGAGTTATTTCGAAACTTTCCCATTTTCTCGCAGTTTAATAATCTAAGTTTAAGCATCAAAGTTTTTCAGCAACCTACTTACCAACCCACTCAGATACTGCAGTGCGCCACTAGGCATTTTTACAAAATTTATTGGACCTGAACAAGATAAATCAGCGTATAGACTATTATACTCAGAGAATCTTTGTTTCAAAAAACTGATTACTTAATCCATTACCATATTTTGAACTTTGAACGAAGTTTATCTTTCGCACTTTCAACTAGTTGGTTGGTTCTTTTCTCTTTCAAACCAGTCTGAACTTCAATGCCAAGATTCCTTTTTTCTATTTCACTGTTTAAAAGTTGTGAGAAATTTGTAGCTGCTGGAAAAAATGGAATCAAATTTTCTATTTACTTTGTATATTCATTGATAATGTCTTGAACCATCTTATAGGCTCTTAGTATATTTATTCTAGTTGTTAGCAAGTATTTGGATAATGGCGTTGAGTTTTCAAATACTTTCAAAAACAATTGTGTCTTCAAACTAAATTCAAAACTTGTAAAAGGAATCTAAAATGTCTTCGCTTTGTTACCGACATCATTATTGAATTTGTTTGACGTATAAATATCATGAAATGTTTGTAAGATGTCAATGTACAAAAATAAATTACTAAAGTTTCTTGATGGTTTTGATGAAGAAGTTTCCGAACATCTTAAGAAGAACTTGGGTTTTACCGATTACAGATATGTATTTCAATTTACTAAGTTCTCGCCAAACATTAAAACGTAAATATGATTCCCGTAGAAGAACTGCACGTTAGGGTCGTGACTTTTTGGTTTCTCCAGTTTCAATAAAAAAAAACAGATGAACTTTGGTTTGAAAGTATTTGAAAAGTCATTGTTTTTATTTGATTTTTGAAAAGATCACCCACCATGACCATTTATTACATACTGGCTACGATATTTCAGTGAATTTTTGGTTAAAATAAAGATTTTTAAAATTGTTTTTTTTATTGTATATAAAATTTAAGCAACTCTTTCTTATTTGAAACTATTATGATTTCTAAAATCTCTAAGAAGTTCTAGTTCTTTTGAGACCCAGGTTGATATACTTTTGAAGAAAAAAAAAATGCATTAATATATCGTAGCCAGTGTGTAATCAATGGTCATGGTGGGTGACCTTTTTCAAAAATTAAATAAAACCAATGACTTTTCAGTTACTTTCAGACCAAAGTTTATCTGTCTTATATATTGGAAACTAGGGTTACCAAAAAGTCACTTCCCTACTGCACATCTGATCAATACGCCAAATGAGGTAAAACTTTTACAACAACAAAAAAAAAAACTTTAATCGCTTTTTCAGTGACGTCACTTATTACTAAATTTAAGACATTGGCATAACAGATGTGCTATCCTATAATCAATGGTAAATTAAAATGTAGCCTCATTAAAAACATAACTTTTTTTTTAGCAGTCGGCGACTGCCGAACCACGACTCACGGAATTCTCACCGTATACCGTTGGCCCAGTCCAAGTCTGTGCATTAAGTAATTTATAACTATAAAATCGACCGAATCGATTTTTAATTTCGATTTCAAGCAAATTCAGAGAGGGAGGGTCGCGAGGGACAGTTTGTCCAGGTTGGCAGATATCCAAGGGATGCCAAATGAAATGTAGGTATCTAAAAAAGGTCCTTCATATGTAATATAAGGAACATTTGATAAATAAGGGCGCCAATCAGGATTGCTGTCCCAGGCGGCGTGGTAGCTCTGGACGTTAACGATAAGAATTTTTTCTTGTTCTTTAAAATTATAATTTTGTTTAATCTACTTCTTTTTATAGTATTGATTAAAATACTCCAATTTTATAATGTTTAAAATATTCCAATTTATAATAGGTTCCTATTTTATATTTAACGCATCGATCAAGACAAAATCGAAATATCGATACATCGCTGTTACACGCTTTGCATGTTTATAGTCAAATGTTGTTATTGGTAGAAACATGATTCCATAGC